AAATTTACCCAAATAAAGAGCAACATTAAACAAACTTGGAGCACAATTTCACAAATATTGGGATCAAAGAAATCTTTAAATAATAAACCGACTCTCCTGTCTAATAACGATGGTCAGCTTTCAGCCTCTGATTCTGCTATTGAGTTCAATAGGTTCTTCTCTTCCATTGGTTCATCCCTTGCAAATGATATTCCATCTTCCAGTACTGACATTAAGGACTATCTTACAGGTAACTATCCACAGTCTCTGTACCTAAAGCCTATTAACTCCACTGACGTCAATGAGATAATCCTTTCCCTTAAAACCAAGTCTGGTGCCCTTGAGGAGATACCAACTTTAATTTACAAAAAAGCCTCCAGATCTTTAGCCCCTGCTATTGCTTTGCTCTTCAACAAGTCACTTGAACTCCAAACCTTCTCATTGACCACAAGCTGAATTTCCAGGGACACATTCTAAATATATCAAAAAAAGTTTCAAAAACTGTGGGCATTCTTTCTAAGATCAGATATTATGTACCACGCCCTGCCCTGGTGACTCTCTTACTCCCTTATCTATCCTTATCTCAACTATGGTATTTGTGCTTGGGGTTCTACTACCCAAAATCACTTACGTCCTCTAATTACCCAACACAAAGCTGCTATTAGAACAATATCCAACTCTGGCCCCAGACATCACTCGGTACCCCTACTCAAATCTCTGAATATGTTAGATATTAAGTCACTGCACATTCTCTCATGTGTATTATACATATATAAAACGCTAAACTATAATGCCAATCCTGATCTCAAAAGCTTCATAGAAGGTTGTAACAGAACCCATGAGCACCACACCAGAAAAAAAATACAGTTTAGATATTCCTAGAGTAAGACTTTATCAAACTAGAAATGCTCTGCAAATCAAGGGGCCCAGAATGTGGAATGACCTTCCCAACCATGTTAAAGACTGTACCTCTCTCAACCAGTTTAAGATAAAAACTAAACACTACCTAATAAATTCCCTGTAATCTACCTCACTCCTCTATTGTCAACCCATGTCTGTTATTTTCTTTTTTTTAATCAACACTGTTTGTCAACCTATTGTATTTGTGCTGCTTTTTCAGTCATGTTCCCCCTTTTTTTTTTTATCTTTATTTGTATTTGTTCTCAACACTTTTTATTCTTTATGCTCAATTAGTATTAAGTTCTAGATATTAATGTTTTTCTTGCCCGAAACGCATTGCGTAATAGTGGCTTTAGGCATTGTATGTACTAGCTCTATCTATATATCAATCCATTAATGTAACATCACTTGTATGTATATACCTTACCTGAATAAACATCTGAATCTGAATCTGAATCTACTTCTATCACATACTGTATAGACACATAGGCTTCAATCTAGAAGATAGAAGAAATAGAGGCGATATGATCACTATGTACAAAATAGTAACAGGAATCGATAAAATTGATAGGGAAGAATTCCTGAGACCCGGAACGTCACGAACAAGAGGTCATAGATTTAAACTAACAAAACAAAGCTGCCGGAGAAATACAAGAAAATTCACTTTTGTAAACAGAGTGGTAGACGGTTGGAACAATTTAGGTGAGAAGGTGGTGGAGGCCAAAACCGTCAGTAATTTCAAAGCATTATATGACAAAGAGTGCTGGGTAGACGGGACACCACGAGCGTAGCTCTCATCCTGTAACTACACTTAGGTAATTAAACTTAGGTAATTACATTTCCAGGTTCTTGTGCCAATACACATAAATTTCAAGTCCTTGCTCCAAGAGAGAGAGAGATTCCAAGTCCTTACTCCAAGAGAGAGAGAGAGAGATTCCAAGTCCTTGCTCCAAGAGAGAGACATTCCAAGTCCTTGCTCCAAGAGAGAGAGAGATTCCAAGTCCTTGCTCCTAGAGAGAGAGAGATTCCAAGTCCTTGCTCCAAGAGAGAGAGAGATTCCAAGTCCTTGCTCCAAGAGAGAGACATTCCAAGTCCTTGCTCCAAGAGAGAGACATTCCAAGTCCTTGCTCCAAATAATGAACAGGTCTTTGGTGCACTGTTCTTCCAAATAAGAAATTTGATGTCTATAGCTTAGATTTTGAACAATTCTAGAAAAAATTATATACTATATGTACAGTGTTGTTACTCTTGAGGTTAGCTTTGCAGTGACAAAATGCTATGCATTACATTTATCCCTATCAAATCTATGGATATGAAATTCATGTTAAAAATGCCCTGCAGTTACACTTGTTAACAAACTTAAAAGCTACTCTATTTAATAAAGAATCTTATGGAGGCAAATTGACTGTTTTATAGCATTTGTTCATCCAAGCAGCATGAAAAAATTAGGTACCTAATAAATTCTTTTGTTATTAATGTGAAGTAACATAGTAGTACCATGCTTCTAAAATCTTAGATAAAATAAGATTAAAGCTTTTAAGACATATTCTTTCAAATATTGTACTGCAGAAATAATTGCTTTAACATCATCATCCCTTCTCTCATAATGAGCAAGCAAGCCACAATGTCTTCAGTTATGAGATAAATCAGCACAATGGATTCAACAGCAAATATTGCAAAAAAGTGTGTCAGGAGAAATTAAGTAGCCTGTTATGTAGGTGATGGTACAGCGTAATAATTTTAAGTTCACTCACCTGGGCTCTAGGAGACAAACCATGGACCCCTTGCATGTGAGGCAGAGGCTTTATTCACTCAGCTATGAGTAGTCTCCCATATTAAGACTACTCATAACTGAGTGGATAGAGCCTCGGCCTCACACGTGGGGGGGGGTCTATGGTTCAAGTCTCCTAGAGCCCAGATGAATGGAATGTTTATTACCACGGAAGTGTGGTTGACAATTAATAATTTCAATGTTAGCAATGATACAGATAATAAGCAAGATTTCTTTGTGTACCAAGTACTTATTGAAGGATCTTCTCTCAAAAACAATCCTGAAAGGATCATCTCTGTCAATATGAAGAAGCATTCTCAGTTTCTTCTTGATAACAAATTAATTACAATGCATTCTAAATTGTTTTTAATATGGCAGAGGCCAATGAGGTATTCAACAATGACATTTATTATCAAGTCTGAAAGCTATAAAACAGTTCAGTGATATGTCAGCTGATGCTATTATGCTTGTAAGGATCTTAATTTACGGACTGATAGGTTGAAGGCTATTTTCACACTAGGATGATTAAGTGAACCTAAACTTGTCAGTCTAGTTATTGGACATATGGCGGGGGGGCCATTTGATTTAATTCCAAAAGTGACCACAGGGTAAGATGAAGAATATACTGGAGAATTAATCAATGTTGAAATTTATCCTACTGTCATCACAAATAAAGAAATTATTGAAGTTGAACATACAAGATTTCCATAACAGTTTCTAATAAAATAAATTGCCTAAAATTTTAAGAAAATGCTAAAATATTATGGTGACATTACCTAGAGAATGGATATACATTTCAAAATACTACTGGAGAATTTTATGCAAGTCTTATAAATTACACAGAACCTATAAAGTTCTATGTTTTCCAAAATGCTAGGACATCTATCAAATTACCTCTTGCCAAAGTCTTGAAAAATCTTAATTAAAAGGCAATTAATTGTTTAGTATCTACAATATGTGTGTAGCCCATGGTGGAGACACTGGCTAAGGTGAAAATGGCTCGAGTGCCCTTGATGATGGCTGACAGATGTGTATGGAGGTAGTGAAGACAAACACAGTCTACCTTTCTGTTTGGTTACAGTTTGTGGGTTCTGAGCATCAGTGTCCTATGGCCCAGTCTTTGACTAGGTCTCCTGGCTGGTGGCCAGGTCAATCAGGCTGCTAGACGTAACTGCTCACAACCTGATGTATGACTCACAGCCCAGTTGATCAGGTATCCTTTGGAGGTGTTTATCCTCCAAAGGATAATGAAAAATGTCATAAAGGTTTGTTCAGTGTATGTAAGGTAGGCTGCTCCATTATTTAAAACATCGAATATCATATTGATGTTTTTCGGTGGTAGAACGGATTACTTTTATTTCCATTATTTTAAATTGGGAAATTCGTTTTGAAAGACAAGCATTGCACATGACGAGCTCGGTGCCGGAATGGATTAAATTCATTAATAGAGGTTCCACTGTATTTTAAAATTTTGCATAAAGTTTTATATACTGTAATACTAAGTTTTAAACCTTTTGTAAAATAAAATTTCAACATAGGTAAGTCTTATTTTTATAACATAACTGAGAAATTTCACAGCTGATTGTAGAACGTCTGGCAATTGTTTTCTCAGAATACAAGAAATTTGGCAAACTCTTCACACTAAAAATTGTAAGTGTATCCACTAATGCAAAGAATTTGCATTCAAATATAACTTACCTATAGAGCAGAAATATAACAAAATAATTGTGAAATCAAGATATATAAAAATTAAAATGTCCAATTGAAAGGGTTTTAAGTAGAGGAGACTGATTAAACTGATCCTAATCAGAATTAATAGAAGCTCGAAAACAAAAGGGGGGAAGGGGGGAGCTATTGTATCTATGTTGAGGGATACAGGAGGTTTTTGTATCCATGTTTGGGATAGAGGAAATTTTTGTGTCAAAATTTTGAAGGAAAGGTGGGGGGGGGGCCTGTTGTACGTGCAAATCATAGCTAAAGTTTGTTTAGAGCAAGTCTTATGAGCAGTTTCAAACTTTCTGGTCTTCATTTAGATCATCAGGTTATCTATGGATATAGCATTCATCTTCCAACTGAAGTTTTTAGAAGTCTACTATTGATGTGCACAGATTCATACCAGCCACACAAAGACATCAATAACATAAACCAATTCATTAAACTTGCTTTTAATAGATCTCCACTTCACTTTCTGGCACTTACATATGAATGAACACAATTGTCTCAAGCACTGAGTTTATAATAATGCAGTAAAAACAGAGACTAATGTGATGAGCTCAGAACAGGAATTCAGAGGAGTTCTGCAACAAAAAGATATTATGATGATGTCATCTCTAATTCTTAGATCACACACCTTTTGACCTGAGGGGAGGAGAGGTCAGAGGCCGTGCAGGGCACTCCGAGTGAGGGCCAGCATATGACATCCGAGGTCGGCGAGATACATGAGATATTTCACTTTGTATTTCCAGGGCTGAGGGACGCATGTCTTGTTCCCCTGAAAAATATGCCACTAAAAATAACAAAGGTGGGATAACAAGCAATAAAACACTCGGGCAACAATACAATATTGATACAATATTTACAAACATGCATAATACAAAATGCATACTCATAACAAGCATATAAATTTTGCATGTCAGAATACAGTATAAAAAAAAAAAAAATCCAATTTTTCAGTAACATATTAAAATTATTTTCAAAAGAGATATTAAAATAATTTCAGAAATAAAATGTACGTGTAACTGAAAGATGAAGAAATTTTGAATTAAACATTCATACATAAACCAGAAAGTAGTGTTCAATGAACTTATTTAATTTCTTTCATAATAATTTACACTATACTACTGTATACTGTTTATTATATTCACATGAGGTGTAATTTAATTAGTCTTCACTATGAATTATAGTTACAAAACAATCTCATTAATCTTAAGTGTGAGGGACTCAATATCAGCATTTTAATATAACTACCAGTTTAACTAAGACATGCCAGAGGAAGCAAAGACATTCAGAAGATGCCAAGATGTGTGAGATAAAGCCAAGATATGCCAGAGACAATCAAAACACCAGAACAAGCCATAATATGACAGAAGAAACCAAGACATGTCAGAAAAAGCCAGACGTCAATGTGACATATGGAAATGACAGCCAGGCTGTATAACCTCCTCCAAGGCCTCATTGCACATCCTATCAATTTATCAATATATTTTAAGTAACCCTTTATAATTATCATTGTTTAACATTATTATCATTTGAATTTATAAAATGAATGCAGTATATGTAAGAACTATAGAGGTGTTAGTCTACTAAGTGTAATGGACAAAGTGTATAGTCAGAATAGTGAAAATAAGTCCAGAAAACAAGTTACATTTCATTATGGAAGAGGTGTTGATCAAATATTTACATTGAGATACATGGTAGACAAAGCATGTGAGATGGATTACAAGGTGTGCATTGCATTTATAGGTTTGGAGAGAAATATATAACCACGATACCACGCGTGAACACGTGGTTCCCGGTCACGCGGGCCAACCTGCCTCAGTTTACTAGAGCTGCCCACTTAGTGACAATCACGCCTATAGGAAATTATATTTTTGTGGTAATTTTTTGCTTTTTGAATATAAAACTGATTATTATATATCATGCCATTATATATCATGATATGATATATATCATATCAGTCCAGCAACCAGGAGGCCTGGTCGACGACCGGGCCGCAGGGACGCTAAGCCCCAGAAGCACCTCAAGGTAACCTCAAGGTATGCCATTGCCAAAATCATGACCGAGCACTGGTCACAAAGCCTCAGCCCATAGATGACGCGTTCGTGAACACATTGAGCGATCAGTGAAACCCGAAGGCACTGAAACCCGAAGAGGAAGCCGGCGACGCAGCAACCAACACAAAGCCCCCAAAAGCCCAACCCAGCGGTCACGAGAGAGGCAGACAAAATGTCTCCGAAGGAACCAGAATAAAGCCGACAAAGCCACACCCGACTCGGATGGTAGACCATCATGGCAAAGTTAGGCTCCTGCACAAACCCTTGAGCAACCGCCGTGTGACCTGGGAGCCCCTCAGGAACAGATGAAGGTGGGAACGCAGGCGAAGCAGAGCCGCCAGAGGAAGAGACAAGGATGCAGTCCGATCGTCCCACACAAGACCCAGGCAAGACCGAACCTGAGGGGGAACCAGATGGGACTTCCGCCAGTTCACCAAGAACTGAGACCACATCAGAAGCCAGAGGCACAAGACCTCACCAGTAGCACATCGGCCAAGAACTGAAGGGTGCATCACCAGCGTGAGAGTCTGGGGCTCCCCCTTCTCCCTCTCAGGGAGGGGGGTGCAGACAGCGGCGTGGCAACGTGATGATGTCATGCTCGTTTACTAATTTTCTTTTGGGGAGTTATTTCCACTCGTTCAGATTTCAGTAGCAATATTTTCACCAGAATAGGGGTTTATTTTGGGGCACCTACTTTTCTGGGTGCCAGATCCGGTTGATGGTAGACATAGAATGCTCCCAGCCACACGGGGGTTTCTATAGGCCATTGCATCTCATGCCTCTCTGAGGGGGCCCAGGTTCTGGCTTGTGGTCCCTGGTAGGTAAGAACTCCAGGCACATTGACTGATGGCAGAATGCTTATATAACCATATCAGCTTGGATAGCTCCGAGGAGCCAATGGGGCTACCCCCCCCCCCCAGAAAAGGTTATTTTCACTTTATTACTATTGGTGTCAGTATTACCATTACTTAAGAGAGCATCCACTGACATTTGTGCATCCCTAAATAATGCATTTACAATTTGCAGACTTAGTGAATGACTATAATTTAATATGCTAAAACAATTATAAATATTTAATAACTTACATATCAATAGCAGTCCCCATGGTGCAGTGGTAGCACACTCGCCCTTCGCTTCACAGCTTGGCCTAGGTTCATGTCCTGGCTGGGTAGGACTGACTAGGCACTAATCCTTAATGTTATGTCTTTGTTCACCCAGCAGTGAACTGGTACCTGGTTGTTAAACGATTTGGCAGGTCGTATTCCAGGAAAATTTAAGTTTAAGGACCTGCCCGAAACGACATGCTACAGGCTTTACAAGAATGTAAGAACTCTTGTATATACCGTATATAAAAAATACTGTACATATAAAGAGCTGTTATCATTTATCATAATAACATTGCAAAAAGCAAAAAAACATGGGAGTTTACAAAAATTTAGATACAAAACTTTTTTGGAGAGAAGTATGTAATATCTTAAAATTTTACCTGTTACTTTAGTAGTAATGACCTCATCCTTAAGCTGTTTGACCTGGTGAGCAAGGTCGAGGAGGAGAGACCCTCGGCATCTAGGAGGTGGCAATGACCAGCCATGGATACGGTCACGAATAATTAGCTGGTAGTGTTCACTGCCTTCATTTGTACACTGCCGAAGGAGCTGTAAAAATGTCACGTGATGCATGTTAACAAGTGAATAACAGAATGCACAAGTCATCAATCAATCTGCTGTGCATTTATTTGATCTTGTTGTCATATTTACCAGTTTAAGGTATGAAACATGATTTTTATATTGTAATTACATTTAGGTAATTACATGATTAAAATCATGTTTCATAACTATTAAAGTGGTTCATATGAAAATAAAATAAAATTAATGCAAAGCAAATATAAATTCAAACCTGCAATAAAAGTCTATTCACTGTTTATGGTAAACACAGAATCAGAAGAATAACATGAAAGGTAAAAACAGGCTGCATGAGGTAAGACTAGTAAATGCATCCTCTACTAATATAATAAATCAATTAATGACAATGTTACCACAAACACAAGCAATGAATTACCAAGCCGAGTGAAAGTACCTTGGTAAGCATGAATGGTCTCATCTGGATAAAGAGAGGAGTGCGGAATGACACAACAAAGTCTAAAAAGTCCCAAAGTGCCAATCCTCCTTCACCGCGCGAGTCCATATCCCGAAGACAATGAAGAATGCGGTGCCAATCTTGTGACAACTGCTTTTCAAAACATACCATCATCACTTTGAGCCCTGCACAGAGAAGTTATGATTTATGCCTGACATTTGATATTATGAAAGCAAGATAAACTAATAATAATATTCTAAAATACAAGTGAATGTAACTTACTCAAGTAAGCGAATGTAAGTTACTCATTTAACTATGTGTAGAATGATTAGTAACAAAAGTACATTAACTTACCCATGAAGGCTATGTGTAAAATGATCAGTAATAAAAGTGCATTTGATTTACCCAGGAAGGCTATTCGAAGAATGGTTGGCTTGACCTTGGGATAGGCACGTGGATCGAGCTGATGGTGGGACCAGGATTGGGATCGTGGGTCAGAGCCTGGTACGGTCTTGGCTTGTGGGCCGTGTATTGGTTGCAACTTTGCCAGTGGAGGGTTCATGGCATGCAGGACAACAGTAAGTGCAAAGCTGATGTCTGCTTGACGCATTCTTGGAGCATCTGTAATTGCACGCATTAGTTTTTAGTACAGTTTTTTATGTACTATTCTACCTATATTACAAAACACTAAAAGCTTATTGTGTGGCATTTATAATAGAAAATTTTGCATTTAATTTTGATAATTTACAATATTTTTATATTTAATCAATAAGTTGTTATGGTATCTTACAAAAGAAATAGCAATAGAAATTTTGCAATTTTCTATGATTTGCAGAATTGCTTTGCAGAATACTCTGATTTGCTATGATTTGCAGAATACCCAACTTTGAAAAAGAAATAAGCTCAATATTAATTTTCTTACTTTCTCTTGTATAAGGAGACACCCCCAGAGAAGGCAGATATCCCCTAATGCAGTAAGGGGATCTTGATTTCTGCCCTGCCAGGTAAGTTGACCATTTGAAAGACTGAACTTTGTACTTTAGGTAATGCAAATCTTACACACAAAATGTTAAATAGCCAACACCAAGATCAACAAGACTGATTCAACTTAATGAAATTGAATACAAATAATTACCTAATTTTAATTGTTAGGAGAGGCAAATCTGATAAGTCGAAGGACAGAAAATTCTGGGTCTTCACTGGGGGCACTGCCTTTGAACCCCTTTGGTGTTTGCTGGCAATCCCCAGATCCCTTGCTTTTTTAAAGTATCTTCAAAATTAAACTTTGCATTCCCTTTCATATTAAATCCTGGGCACAGCCCTGCACATGAGGCACATTATAATATGACAACCTTGAAGCACCTCTAGTGTGGCCAGCCTGAGGATTTGCAACTAACAACATGACATTGAAGACATAACTAAACCAATTATTTAGAATGACAGATAACTGAATAGATGACAGACACAGCATTAACTAGAAAGTACAAAATATGCCAACATTATGCATACTGACCCGTCTACTCACAGCAAATTTCCCTTTACATAGGTGGCTGGTGGAAATTTCCCTCTACATAGGGTGGATGTTCCCCCACTATGGTTATTACAGGTAATTACCACAGCAAGGAGGCCTGGGCAAGAACCGGGTTGTGTGGACACTAAACACCCTACTAACTATCACAAGGTAATTACAAGATAGCCTGACAACCTCACTCTTACAAAGCTCCTCCAGAACAAACCTTTGCGTCCGCATCCAACTCGGAGGCATAGAGGTAGGAGGAGGTTCATAATCATGTTCTCGGTCTTCTCTGGTGTTGGGAAGAGTGATGACCCACCACAGATCTGCTCCAGTGAGAACGTCACCTGCACCATTAGGACACAGTATGTTACTCCACAGATTTTGATGACTTCAGGAATTTAGCTTTTTAAATGGCAGACTAAAACAGCATCCTTAACACACTGGACCAACACTTAGAAAACTGCACAGCAAGAAAAGCAAGCCAATGCATTAGAAATGGATTTGCTCATTATCCTTAAAGAAGAAATTAAACACAAAGGGGCAAATACATATTAAATATACATAAAGCATATGCTCCCTTCTACAATTTTGTGTGATATTTCATTAAAGTAAACACAAAGGGGCAAATACTGCACATATTAAATATATATTAAACTTGTGCTCCATTCTGCAATGTTGCTTAATATGTCTTGAAAGTAAACATGTGTAAATGCCCCTACATGCACAAATTCACCCCCTCCCCCCCACACACACACACACACACAGGAAAATCTGTTATATAATTTTAGTAAGGTGCTGAGGATAAATTATGGATTTTCATATCTGACTGAATATTGAATCTAACCTGTTGACCACTTTAGCTAATACCTGCCCAAAATGTGATGTATGTTAGTGGCTTTACAAGAACTTACTATTTAAGGACTTAACGTAAGTACTCACACAACCCATTCTACCTTCAAATAATACCTAGAAAAGTTTTCCACTTTGAGTAATCACTCAAAAGGTAACAGTTACAAATTCCTTAAAGAAATTCCTTAAACTTTGCTGTAGTGTAAACAGTTGCTCTGCAAATTTCATTCAAAGAAATAATTACAGCTTAGTATTTTGTTAATTCAAGAGCTTCTCAACTAAATTTTAAAGCAGAACAAAATTTAAATTTAGTACCACCTATGAAAAGGCTAAATATTCATACATAAGAGTGGCAGTCAATGTTTTGCAAGTCAAGAGTAAAACAATATGACAAGAATCTATATTAATTTGGAAACAAATTCTCGGTTTCAGCTAATTTGACAAACATCATACAATTTGTTGTTCCATGGTAAAGGAAATTAATCGGCATGAAAACCTTGAGTTTGATCGTTGCTTAGGACACACTTGAGATCCCACCAATGAGGCAAATGTAGCCCATATCGAGACCTTGATTACAGTACTCCGCTGTATTAGCCTGTTAAATAAGCACTCGGGTTTATATTACACATGAAAGCTTGGTAGTCACCAAGCTGAAGAGAAGCTAACTTGTAAAGCAGTCAGAAGAATTCTGTAAGATTGGCATAGCAAGCTTGAAGGACAATTGAAGTACAGTACTGTAATTAAACTGAAATCAGGGAAACCATATTGAAAAATATAATGCGAGGCATGGCTCTGCCTAACATTTAGTTTGCAATATGTTTTGACCGCCACTTATAAATAATTTATTTCACAAGAAACTCAAGTACAGTATTGTAAAGAAGAGATCGTGAGATGACCCAGGTATATTATACCAAGTGATTGAGGGATATGTTCTGTCTATCACTATTACACACTTATAAAAGTTTCCTTAGCTCAGGTAGGAGATGGCATAAGTGGTGGCCTGTAAACATGCACAAGCATTTCTGATCACAGATGAAGGAATTATACAATTATATGAATAATTAATGGAAATGCACAAGATGGGATGTATACAGTACATTTAGGAGAGGAAGCTGAAGAGTTTGATTTTTGAAAATGAAATTGATGTCTTATCTAAGTGATGGAACAATTAGATAAAAAATTATGAGCATTGATAAAATGAAACAGGGGGAAGTAGCATATGGTTTGAAAATTGTAATATGAAACATACAGAAATGAAGTAATCTAGAGTTAATAAAACAGTTAACAGTACAGTAAATAAAACTCAATAACGACAGTCAAGATTGCACTATACAGCCCAGAATGATTCAATAAAAAGTCAAGAATGAATATATAAAGTATCAACAGTGCACAAAACAAGCAAAAGGTGACCTAGAGCACAGTTTTAACATGGCTGAGGATTGTGTAGCTACTTGAAAAGGTTGATGCTTGCTTCACGAGTCAACATGTTTAAAATTGGATCAATGTATCCTCCTAAAATGATAATCCATATACTGTAGCAACTGTGGAATATATGTACAATATATGAGCTGTTGTTCCACAAAAGCATTCCACTTTTTGAACTACTGTACTCGCTTTGTAAAAGGATTGAGAAACAAGGGAAAACCTTACCTAACCTCTCTTGGGCCTAAGATTGTATATATTACCTAGAATTGCTTATAAAAGGACTAGCAGAGACTAGGTTAAATTGTTGACTATTTTTTAATGCTCTATAGTATCCAATAGTACAAAAGAAACTTTTCTGGGGTGAAAGAGTAGACACAATGAGTGGAACAGGAAACTAACGATAATGTGATTATGATATTCTGATCAGGCTGCACAAACCTAACACAAAGCTCTGTAATTGGATTAAGAGAAAGCTTGATTAAATACAGATTTGTGAAGACTATGATATCTACAAAAGGTCAATAAGTGTTATTATGATATTCTATGAAGGATGAACTACATAAGTGAATAATGTTAAATAAAGGTGTAGATTCAACAGAACATAATATCAACCTGGGTACTTCTGTATATTTGAAGATTCATTTTAAATTAAATATCTAGAAAATAGTGATAGTGTTAAATATCTAGAATTAAATGTTAAATATCAGAGTTGAATATCTAGAAAATAGTGTCAGTAGAAAATCAAGATGACAGTGCAATTATATTTGCTTCACATAAATATAATACAGATAATGTTTAAATTTGATAAAAAAATTTGTGGAATGTGTGTTACACATATAATCAGTACTGAGTTACTGATATTGATGCGTCTGATTAACCTAAGCAGCTCTAACAGTAGACATACAGGACAGCCTAAATAAAGTTGCAAATGAAGATAAGTTAAGAAGGTATTGGGTAGATATAACCAGAGGAACACTGATTGAAAATGCAGTCAAACAAATAAGAATATAACATGTAAATGGCAGTATATTGAATGCAGTTCCTTACAAAGAAAAACTGAGAAAAAATCCAAAAGGATATTAGAAAACTGGCAGGACTTGACCCCCCCCCCCTGCCTGTCCTCACCTTAAATAGTCACTATTTGTACACTAGATATACAAGTATACAAATTGAATATAAAATCATAGAAAATTTATGTTTTTCCGGACAAATGAGAACCTGGGTTGGTATGTTGGGTGAGATGCTGTAGGTTTGTACACTTTGGTACAGTACGAACACACGCACACACGTTGTATGCTTGTCACACCGAGGCTGTAGTGGTTGTATCTACACTATGTACATACAAATTTATTCATCACTATATTGTTTACTACAGCTACTGGACATACAAAATGTATTATGTGTGTCCAGTTATATAGATCTCAAATGGATATATTAAAATAATTGAAAAACAATACTTGGCGGCAAAGAGGAGCTTGAGAGCAGACCAGTAAGACTGAGCAAACCTGACTATCACCACTGGGACACTGCTCTAAAGAAAACATGCAATATCTATGGATTTACATAACCCCTAGAGAATTAATGTGTATGAAATATAGTGTACGTGGGAATAGGTATTTAAACAATGAAAGACTTGAAGAGTTATTTGTATGGTGGAAGTAACAAAATTAATAACTGGCTTTCATGTTAAATTGAGACATAAGGTGTGCTCTAGTAAACATTTAGGTAAATGAAAATAAATATGCAGTAAACATGCATAGTGTGTTCATTAGCTGAAGACAATAACAGACAAATCATGCAAGGACAACATTTCCTTATCATTCAACTTATATTAAATGATGAGGTTAATAAGAGTGCTGAGAGTAAGTTTGATCAACTGTACAATGATGGTGTGTGTCTTTGTAAATGTGTCTCAAACTTGCACAAGGGTAACTCAGCACTGTGTGAGAGGTCTCATAGGACTGTGTGAGAGAAAAGTCTCATAGGACTGTGTGAGATATACATCTCATAGGACTGTGTGAGATAAGTCGCATAGGAATGTGTGAGAGATAAGTCTCATAGGAATGTGTGAGAGATAAGTCTTGTAGGACTGTGTGAGAGATAAGTCTCATAGGAATGTGTGAGAGATAAGTCTCATAGGAATGTGTGAGAGATAAGTCTTGTAGGACTGTGTGAGAGATACGTCTCATTGGACTGTGTGAGAGATAAGTTTCATAGGACAGTGTGAGGGGTAAGTTTCATAGGATCATGTAAGAGATAAGTCTCATAGGATTGTGTGCAGAATAAGCCATATTAGAATTTTTGAGGGATATGTTTCATAGGACGTTGTGTGGGGCTTAAGATGTATAACCCAAGATGTGCACCGATATCCTTGATAATTCCTAAGCACAGACACCAAATGTTTAGTTGAGGTTCTTCTTCTCATGAATTAATTGACTATGACTGAATAACTTACAGATACACTTCCAGATACAGTAATAGTTCTAGGATTTTTGAGTGAAGCAAATTTAAAATAGTGTTTAAATACTTTATGCCAGAGACATCACAGCCAAAGCACAAGCTTTAATATAACTGACATGTCGTCAGACACATGAAAAGGTGTAATCTTTGACATCTAATAAATATTTACAATTTTAGTTCAAATATTTATAAATCAACTTTTACTAAAATTATAATCTTTTAATCTCAAATTTATAATGTGAGACTTTGACTGGCTAACAAAGAAAATAGACAGGGAATACATAATTATTTTGTTAAGTGAGAATATTTATAAAGGCATATTTTATATCTTTGCACTGTTTAAAAGTATTGTTAAGGTGTAGGCTTATTACGTGCTATAGTTGGCCTCAAGACATTTTCTAAATATGATGTATTTATAGGTGAAATCTTCAAATTTTTATATCAGTAAACAAAAATTCACTAAAGCTCAAGAAAGCTACTTTACTGGATGGTCTAAGGAAGATAATAGTACTAGTAACAATTGTATGCTCGATAACACGTTTTATATGAACAACTTGCAAAAGCTACTGTCTAAAGTCTACATGGCCAATATATTTAATGTTTGATTTGTTGTAGGAATTTGTTTTTGCTAAGAGGGATGTGTCAGTTTTGTAAAATGGAATGCAGAAGTACTGACACTGTTTTTGCTGACCAGTGAAGTTAATTTAATTACAGTATGTCAGCTTATGTCAACCATGTAAGATATACTTGGGTTATTAATTTTATGCAATATTACTTAATAAATTATCAGGGACAGTTTTCTGGAAGAGAGATGGGTCATAGTATTTAGTACAATTTGAGTTTGCACAAACCAAATCTACTACACGCCATTGTTATTTTAACCCTCAAAATGGCAAAATACAAAGTAAATAAATGGCAGTTAAAATAATAAATTTTGCCATGATCTTAGTTGTAATTAGAATAGAATTATACTCTTGCTATCTAATATGAAATGTAAATATGATCATTTTTTTTAGAGGTTGCTATGCTTTTGTAAACATTATTAATCTAATCAAACATTGTAGTTCTCCCCAGTAATTTTAATTCATAAAGCTACTGTATTTAATAACATATTACCTTTTAGAACATCGCTATCTAATATACCTAAAACTAACACTTTTCCCTATGTAATCAGATAGGGATTGTCACGACTCATTTAGGACGAGTGAGATTTTTACATGATAATTAGGTATTTAAACTGTTTGAGAAAAATGCAGCTTTAAACCTCATGTAGAAGGTCATTCCACATTTTAAGATCTCTTTATTTGCATGGCATTTGCTTTGGTTGAGTATAAAGTGGAATATAAAGTTGGAATATAAAGTAGCTATTTGGTTCTCGTGTAGTGTCCATGGGTTCTGCTACAGCCTTCTAGGATGTGTTTGAGGTTACAGAAGTTAAAAACCCCAAAACAATCCCATCTTAGATTATATTTGTATTATTTGTACGAGCAAAGACTGAATGGTATATTTTTAGATACCAAACGTTCACTATAACCAATCACGGAAAAAATAAATCTGCTCATATCCAACTACAAATTACAATGATTGACTAGACATATAATATTTAAAAAACATTGTAGCCATCTTGAAAAAGTGACCAAGATGCTCTTCAAGCCTCAACAACTGGTTACATTAGTGACGCTTTTATTTCAAAATTTTTAAGGTCAAAAAGATCAAGTGAGATCAAAAGACTATTCTTCTATCATAATTTGAATTGTAATTATAGCAAAGTTTGCAATTTTAGTGACCATTTTGTTGTGCACCATTTTTAGGATCAAAGTATAAATATTTAAAATAGCATCAAGCAGATTTGAGTTGAGGATACACAAATTCAGCTAAATGAGCTTTGTGGTAAATTCTATTAACAAATTCCTTGCATAAGTTTTACAGGATTTTTTTAAAAAACTACCTATGACTAGAATGAAAAAAGTTTATATCAAAATCCAAATTAATTAGTTTGACATAATGGATTTTATTGAATAAATTTACTATTGTGCATGAAATAGTGATACCATTATATTAGGCATTTATAACTACTTAATCTTCAACATTCCATTTTCAGGCAGAGGAAGTGCTCAAGGAACCCAATGGGATCTGCTTCAGAGTTTCTACCGATGAACTCTGAGGGAAAATGCAAAGATTTATAAGTAGAAAATAAAAGAACTATAAAAAAAATCCTCCTTAGCTAATTCTTAAGCTCACCCCAGTTACATCGCTGAACATCTGGAAAAGAATGTGAGAGTTACATAGGACCAAACATGTGTATGATTATGCATGTTTTCTGTACATAAGGAAAAACAATTAAAGCACAATTTAATAATACTAACAATATACTAATTGTAAACAAAAGTAATTGATAAATACAGGTAAATCATATTTCCAATTTTACACCATATAAAAACTATAATCAACAGAAAATAAGATGCAAGCAGCCAACGAGCAACTCACCCCGAGAGCTAGGATTTGCATGGCAATGATCTTGACTACCATGGAGCAAAAGTGAGGAGGGGGAGAGTGGGACCAGGCGGCAAAGTTGTGGACTTCCATGTCTCCTATTCGCTCCCCGAGTATCAGTGACTGCCAAAGAAAAAGCTCTGATCAAAACTGCATTGGCAAATAATGATTGGAAGAAATATTCACTGTTCTTATTTCAAGATACAGATTAGATTCAAGTTATAAAGAACACATCACTGTGATGCAGAGACATAAGTATATTCAATGTTTTCAATGTTTACAGTGGCAACATTTTGAGCAATAAATGTTTAAAGTTGCTCCCCAGGATTTGTGCAAGGATCGTCAATCGTACACTTTTGATCATATGCAGTACATGTCAGCAAGAATAACAACTTCCAAACAATACTATTGAACACTAACATGCACAAACACCCAATTTCATTAGGACAGAAAATATTCTAAAATGCTCTTGTAATGTCTGGTACAGTATATAATTTTTATTATTTTTGATTAATATAAACGTTTTCTTTTTATTTAGATGTCAGTTGGTTTTATTTTATTAATGTTAATTTGTATGTTGTATCTGCTAATGTTTGCAAGTATGGTAAATTATGTATGAGAGAATGTATGTTTATGTCTGCGTGTAAAGTTGATTTCCCACATGTTTTTGTATGGGTAGCATCCCTATACCATCCTTGACACTCGGAGGGGGCTTGGAGCTAGTTGCACATAAAGGTATGAGTGAGGTGTTTACCTAGCTGTGGAGACAGCTGCTTCCATTTTCTCAGTGTAATTGAGTACAGTAGTCAATCTGATGAGTTGATAAAATTGATTCCACATTGTATAATGTCCCTTTTCCTGTGTTTTTTAAATAAATGTAATGCAAACATTGTGCTAGTTTCTTTGAGCCCCAAAATTCAAGAGTTGTTCCATTCACTTGGTGTATCCTCTCATATGTGAAGTGAATTTTTATATACTATATTTGCTTTATTCCCAAATTTTAAATAACATGCATGTACTGTAAGTAAGGAAGAGGGAAGGAGATGTATATTTATTAACCCCCTCCTTACACTCTGAATAAAACAATGTACAGTATAATGAAATATGCACTGTTACAAATTTGTTTCCATGTGAAAGAAGATATAAATTACAGTATCATTAAATTATTTGACTCAATGAGAGGCTGGAGCTGACCTGGCAGACCTGCACAACCATCTTGAGGTGAGGCAGGTGTGCTATGTAAGGATACTTGGAGAGGGTTGTGTATACGCCCTTCAGGAGACTAGCTGCAGCACCCCAGTCTGTTAATCTCTGCCAGAATAAAAGGTCATACTAGGTGTCAACAATGGGTTCATACCTAGCAACTATCTACAATATCTAGAGAGGACTGAGGTAGTCAGGGGTTGTATAGCTGAATGTACATAAACATTAATTACCATGTTTAATTCCCCTGAAAGATATTATTTTGAAATTAACATTATTTTCCTATCCAAATTTTACAAAACTCTATGTTCTGAAACCAAGAATAATGGTATAAAATTTTGAACTAGCATCAAGTAGAAATTGGTTACTTATGCTTTATGATACCAAATATCTCATGCAGCATACCCTTATGGAGTTTTTCTTGGCAATCTTATTAAACATTTTATCAAGTCTTCTAAGAATGTTAACCAGTGCTGGCCTGAGATCCTCATGAGACCAATCTGGATGTGGAAGGATCTCATTCATGTACCGTTGGAGTCCTCTGCAGCCCATTGTGGCAGGATCATATGGGGCCACCTTTAGCAGGCTGTGAGCAACCTCTGCTAGACGCTAAGAAAATAATACCATTATTTGAATTAATACTTTACTTTATAAATAATAATTTATCTGCCATAATGGGACAATATGAGACAAATATATACAGTGAAACACTGTATTGATTTTAAATGTTGTATGCCAGTATATAAATGAAATCAAATGCAGTATTTCAAGCAAATTCGTACCCTGAGAACATTATATAAAGCTGGTAACCTACACACATACACATCAAGGCTGAGTGAATTGATTAAAAAAAAAAAAAAAAAAGCATTGAATGCAATGAAACGCCATTTTCTGGGTGAGCCCAGGAGGCTCCCTGACAACACTTCCTCCCTCCCTCCCTCCAACCGGTAGGCATTTTTTGCATTGTTTGATGCTTAGCTTCCGAACTGGAGTGCTGGGTAGCTGGCAAGGGAAGGTCTGGGGCTTCCCCCTCCCCCTCTCGGGGAGGGAAGGGCTGCACGGACAAGTGGCACAGTAGTGGAGTGTGACATTTGCTTGTTTCCTTGGGATTGGAGGGAGTTCTACCTCTCTGTTCGGTTTTTCTTTGTACTTTTCTTACCATGTGAGCGTTTGCTTTGTTATGCCTATCTTTCTAGGTGCCTAACCCCAGTCAAAGACAGATAAAGAAAAACCCCAACCACAAGAGGGTTTTCCAGGGCCAATGCTCCTTGCAACCTCCCTGAGGGGGCCAGGTTCTGGCTCATGGTCCCCAATACGTCGAATTCCATAGACTAATGCCCTGGTCTAATATATCACACATTAGCCCAATAGCTCCAGGGAGCCGCAGGGGCTCGCCACAGAAACCCCTACGGAAATGGCATCCCAAACGCACCAGGGAAGATAACTCTGACACACAAGGGTAGTACTCACAGGGTACTTAGGGAAGGCTGCCTTAAGCCCTTGCATCCCCGGTACACTTCAGATACACTTGGCCACCACACCACGAACAGCAGAGGACACCACAAAGGTAAAACACTGCCAGGAAACCAAGGCCAGAGTTGACAATCGCCCTGGAATGCATTAGTCAACAAACTAAGGTTGGGTAGCCGGCGTGGTGGGTCCAGGGGAAGAAGGGAAGCATGCAGAAGAGTGGAGTGGTGGCAGGGTGTGATGTTTGCTTGTTTGCTTGTTTCCTTTGGAATTGAGGGAGTTCTGCGTCTCTGTTCGGTTTTTGGTTGCAATTTTCTTACAATGTGGGTCTGTTTTTTTATGTCTACCTTTCTGGGTGTTAACCTTGGTCGATGGCCAACATGGAATGCCCCCAAGTACAATGGGGTTTCTGTAGGTCATTGTTCCCTTTGCCTCTCTGAGGGAGCCAGGTTCGGGCTCGTGATCCCTGGTAGGCTGAACTCCTCTGACTAATGCGCTGCTCTAATGAATTGCATATTAGCCCGATAGCTCCAGGGAACCAAAGGGGCTCCCCACAGAAATGGCTAATAGGGAGTTTTGGAGAATACAACAGAACACTAAGTGGACAATTGAAGTTACAGAGAATATAACAGATGATCAAGTGATACCGAGCAGTAAAGAATAAGTCCTGTATTAACTACCTGTTCTGCTTACAAGATACAGTATTATTTTTTAATTAACCTCAAGATTTTCTAACAATAAAACTACACGCTCTAAAGATAAAACCATTACAATTTAAGTATCACAATCAAATGTAGTTTTACTTACAATTTGACAGTACAGCACATACTTATCACTGACACCTAGAATTTTAACTTACAAATTGGCACGAACTATTTGTATGTCAGACTTATATTTTAATTTTAACTTATATAACAACACTTGGTATCCAGAAGACCAGATCTTAAGTTTCACTTACAAGATGACATTTAGTATCCAGAAGATCAGAATGTTTGCTCTCCTGTCCAGCTTTCTTGTTGATCTCTGCCAATCTCTGTGAGCAAGTGGTTAAAAACTCGGCCACCACATGCAGCAAGGTGTCTCGAGGCTGGCGGAAGTCATGACGCAGTGCCTGTGGGGTTCAATATTTTAATATATCTTCTTATATAACACATGTTTTGAAAACATTTCTCAATAAAATACTATTCTTTAAGGATAATTACTGACACCTCAGTTTTATATGTCTCATTTGCTCGTGTCTTGAGTACTGGTCTCGCATCTGAAAGCAAATAAAGTAGCTACATTCACATAGATCAAAGAGGCATTTCTAACAGCAAAGTGATAAGATGCTTTATTAGTTCATCAAATATTCAGCTCAGCTTCAAAGAAGCATAATATAAATACTGAATGTGTACAGTACTTAAACCATTTACTTAAAATCATCCTGATATTTTATTTGTGCCGAAAGGAAAAAAAAAAGACAAAAGAGGAAATGTCATCTAATTTAGTATCTAAGCTGCCCAATAAAATGTTCAGTACTTCTTCCCCATACTAGTGATTTTTGCAGTATTAACTTGGTCTCTTCTCTTGCTTTGGCACTTCTAATTTACAGATCAGCTATGAGAAGATTCCATAACAGTACTTAAAATCTTAATACAAATATGAGACCTCGAAACAATCCTACATTAAATTTCTATACATTATTAATCTGTTAGACACATCCAGTAATAATACCTCAGAGTCCTCCATATCTCGCTCATAGGCTTGGTATCTCTTGGAATCACTCATGTACTTGGAATGAGAATCATCATCCACCTCTATGGCAGGATTGTATGCCTTTGATGTCTTGGAATATGTAACTCGACTTGAGCCCTTGCCTTCTCCAGCTGACTTTTGCGGTCCTGTGTAGTTCCTAGAGTACAGGACAGGAAAATCTGTATCATGTTGATAACAAAGAGTTGCTGCAGATACTTTCATGTTGAAGTGTCATGTGATTGTCGAGAATATTTTAGATGGTTTTGTGTTGAAATTATTACTACTCTAAAAACTTAAATAATCATCAAATGATCAATATTCAAAGAAATTTATCCTTAGTAGAGAAATTTTCAGTTCTTTGCTGTGACGGTTCATCAGTAGGTAAACATGCTTAATAAAGGAAATATGCAATATTGCAATTCATGTAGCCTGTCTCTTTAGATCTACCAAAAGTGTTTTATATACTATGACTACCATGTTTTTGGCTTTAACCACTGTGATGCGCCGAGTTTATTGTGACATTCCCCCTGTGCGCATAAAATCAAGTGTTCGCAATTTTTTTTTCATCTTTATAAAATGATAAATTCCCTTCCTTGAACACATACAGGTAAAAAAAGAAAAAAAATTCCACTTACTCTGGCTGTGTGGACGTGAAGAAGGGGAGCGCCACGGGCTGGTCGCCCGTGCGTGAAGCTCCCAAAGGCGGTCGCATGCGCGATTCAAGCACCGCGAGTTGCCATCTATATATTTTCAATTATTTGTTCTATGTATTTCCAATGTAGATTTTTTTTATCGTATATAATGCATATTTGTGTCCTTTACAATATGTATACAGTAGAACGTTCATAATGTTTCATGGAACTGTGATACATGTGTCAGTAATGTGTCCACAATAAATGTTTATTGTCACAATATTACTTGTTAAAAATTCACTAAAATTACAATATGTATGTACAGTTTCACACACTATTTACACAGTAACAGACTCAGTACTTCGGAAGTGAGTGATAATCAATGAAGCCGTCCATGGTACACAGCGTGACTGCACTCTATAAGCACCAGGTACAGAACAGATTGATTTTCGCTTCCTGTTTCTTCATTGTGTGTGCTTGCAAATAACGCACTACACACTCAATGTGTGTACACCCTTGGCTTTAGTACCTGTAGATGGTATGTAGCCAAACTTGTGAAGTGTAAGGTAGTCTTGAAAAGATTATAGGAAAAGATCAAATTGTAAGGTAGTCTTGAATAGGTCGCTTTGTAAGGTCCCTCACTGGAAGAAATTCAGTCATTCTGAAAGAGATTCAGTCAATCAGGAAGAGATTCAGCCATTCTGGAAGAGACTCAGCTATTCTTGAAAATATCTATGGAAAACACCACCATGGAAGCTGCTAACACTGTTCATCTATGCTACGTATATCAGATGCATCATCACTGAACCCAGAAAACGATTCATCTATGTATGATCTATAAAAATTGGAGATGGCAAGGGTGAGCAAGAGTGGCGCTCAAAACTACAACTGGATACGCTCGCTGTATCGTTCTCATCGGAGCTGTATCACTTGCATCCGACCTTTGTGTTAGGTCCTTATTGTGCCTAGCTTCATCAATATCATGACCCGTATGTTCTTCAAACAATATGGTCTAAATTTCACCGACAGAAAGTGATCTTTCAACACCATGTCAGACAAGTATTTGAGAGCCAGAGGCACATATGCCACCCATGGTTGCTCACTCAGTATTAAGCCAGCCAGCAGCCCTAGGACATTCTGGGAATTTTTACCAAGATGGCTGCCTCTCACTGAAGGTACCAAGAGTTCATTTCGTACACAACCTACCACGCACACGTTTTGAATGTGTATGAAATATTCAAAAGTTGTTTTCTCGGTTGGCGCAGTTTCCCACCGACAGAGTTTTCTCGGTTGGCGCAGTTTCCCACCGACAGAGTTTTCTCGGTTGGCACAGCACAGTGGTTAATAATCTGCATATAGTAACTACCAAACTATAACACTAATGTATATCTGTTCAGCATTATAATCATCACAATAGTTCCCACTTACATGGGGCAAGAAGACATATGTCTGGAAAACAATAGATGACTAATAATGAAAGAAGTTTACATACATTAAAAGTGAAACATCATTATATTCGAGGACAATACTGTATATAGCACACCACATCCTAGCAGTCATCCACACAGCCCCTTTCGCTTCAAATAAATACATTCTGTGAATTTATATATAGCTTACAAACATTACTGTGGTGATTAATTTCCGAGAGACATATGCACTATGAAATCTTTGTTCTACAGTAGAAAAAAGAAATACCACACACTTAGCTAGTGGTTCACAATTGGTAACAAGAGTTTTCATAGCAACAGCAACGTGATGAATGGTTTCCTTCTCTTGGCGTAGGTCGCGTCCAGCGGTGGCTTGAAGATGCCGAAGAACCAGTCCTAAGTTAGCTTCCAAGATTGTCTGAAGAAGAGTTTGCACAAATAAATAATTTATATCAAATACTGTATATTAATTTAGCTTTCAGCATTAATGACAGGACAGTCATTGGAGAGAAGCATCCAGGATACCTTGACTAAAGATGCCTTTATTTAATCTGTTCAATATTCCCTTTTAAAACTTTTTCATATTTCCATATTGCTTAATCTTTTCATCTCATTAAACTTCTACTAACTAACTTTTATTAACATTTACTAACCTCTGAAAATATAGAATAATTATAACCCATCTAATGCCAGCACAATTATACAACTCAAAAAAATGTAGGAAGAGAAAGATGTGAGGGGGGGGGTAATGATTAAGGAATTCTCACCAGCATTTGATGACCTCTCTTTGAGTCGGCAGAATAGGCAACAACAGTAACACACATGTCCACTGCCTCCAGCAGTGACACAGAGTCTGATTCTTCATGGTAGCAGAAGTCCAGAGCTCTGGAAGTTAGTTAAATATCGTTAAGGGGCATTATCATATGGTACACCACTCTCATAGTCTCACACACACATACAGCATGTGCATGTATGTGTCTCATATATTTTATATTATATTATATTTATATAAAACAAGAAAAATGAATGGTGCCACCTGACCTGAGGGGTTTCTGCACAGTCACAAGGTCAAGGATGTGAAGTGGATCTTCGTGGTGCCGCTCCAGGGACAACAAGATGTCAAAGAGCCTCCGAGGCTGAATCTGCAGAGAAATTTATGTTAACTTCAGAACTGCTATTAACAACTAAAATACTGCCATTAACAACTACCAAGTATCCATGCTACAATGTTAAATTAAATAAAAGGAAATTATTTTTATTCCAGAAAGTAATTAAGGAAGAGTACAGTCTAGAATATACAGCAAAGACTACTAAAATCCACACTAAAACAATAACATTAAGCAAAACAAAAACTGATTAAATTAATTAAGCCATTTGTATAACCCTGCAATTTAGTTTGATTTACATAGTAATCTAAATAAATTCTTCCTAATGCAGAATTATCTAAAGTCTTCTGAACATAGAAGTATCTCTACTTCCCAATTCAAGGATATGAACCTTATTAGCATCTCCATAGACAGCACTTTCATCCATATCAAGGATAGTGGCAACAGAACCCAGCATCTGCAGGATGAAGGGCTTGCGGTGTAAGATATACAACTGCTTCACGATGAACTCGATCACAGTCACTACCATCTTGTTGCTCTGGTAATTACTGTACACTCGCAAAATGGTTGGCATGATGTGCAGATACCTGGAGAAATAATTAGAAATAATTTCTGAGGTATAAATATATACTTGTGAGGTATTCCTGTATTCACAAATGCATTTACAAACTTATATTTTTATATTAATTATGTATAATAATTAGTAGGTTTGGCCTCCACTACCTTCTCACTTAATTTGTTCTAACCATTTACCACTCTGTTTGCAAAAGAAAACTTTCTAATATTCTTTTGGCACCTTTGTTTCCTTAGCTTAAATCTGTGACCTCTTGTTCCTGAAGTTGCTGGTTTCTAGAATACCTCTTTGTCAATTTGGTCGATTCCTGTTATTTTGTAAGAGGTGACCATATCACCTCTTTTTCTTCTATCTTCTAGTTTTGGCATATTTAACACCTCTAGCCACGTTTTGTAATTCCTGTTTTTCAGTTCTGGAAGCCATTTTGTAGCATGCTTTTGATTGCACATAGCACACATTATTGCCTTTAAATATATACTGTACATGGTTAACACTCATTTGCTATTGTTAAAAGTTTGATAGTTCCTAGTATGGCCGTCCTGCACATTCAGACACTGGATGGTGATGTGCCAGATGTGGTCCTCATCTGTTTACTAAGGCCCTAGAAGGAAAGTGAGGGACTCAGAAATTCTTTTCAAGATAATGAGCAGTTACTAGGTCCTGAGGAAGCAAATGTAAGTCCCATATATGTGTGTGGGAGTTACAACTTTATGATAGGCCTAAAAACATCTGTGGTTGTGATGAGCAGTGCAGGGAGTTATTATACATATCAACAACCTTAGCAACAATTCTTTTAACAAACCCATTTGTAGAAAAGAGGTTCTTGAAGTGATGAGCAGCGTTGATGTAGGAAGCCATGCAGAGTCTAAGCATCGACGAGTCTTCACAGTGGAGGAGGAAGGCACCATTGATCACATTGAGGAAGAGATGGAGGTCAGTGATGTAGGTCAGATTGCCGGCCATACCCTCAAACATCCGGGTGACTAACTGCACCCACATGTACTTGTGCAGTTGGTCAAGCCCCCGTACCTCCTATAACAAAAATACTTCTTGAAGCCTGTTCTTTATGTTTTCATAGCCTTCAGTCAAATTATCACAAATCTTGAGTTAATATGACACATTAAGCTCTTAAACAATCTGAGTTGTATACTTTTGGCTAAAAATATTTCTATTAATTTTATATAAATTATATATTATTATTTTTTTATTGGAGGTAAGAGATGTAACAAGAAATGGGCAATAAATTTAAACCTATTAACATGTAATGCTTAACATACATCTGTACATACAGCCAAAGATATGTAAGACATTATAATCTACACTCCCACTGACAATTTTATTCCCATGAAACTCCAAAACTTCTCAGTGCTATTGCAGGTATGTTAGAACATAAAGAGATCAAGAGAGTGACTGGACCAACCTTGCCCATGGCACCACCCTTATAGAGGTTGAAGTCTGCCTCCAAAGCTTTGCGTGGGAAAGACGGTAATTTAGTTAACTCTTCGTGCAGAAAAAAGACACGCTGAGCAACCTGTGAGAAAAAGAATATGCTGAACACCTATACAGTACTACTACTTCAATCTCATATTTAACCATTTTCACTCATGTTCACCAGTCCTCAATCTCAGCAAGCTCTTTAATGAAGGGTACCTTACTGTTATGTGTGGTAAAGTTATCATAAAGATAATCCAAAATAATCTACAAACAGTATCCTCATATTCCTTTGACAAAATATTGCAACATTTAATGTGCTATGAAGGATAAGGTCAAGAAAAAAACAAGAATCAAACACCAATTAAATAAGTTACCTGGTCAGGTCTCTTCAGGATGGACCAGGCCATGAGCACCTTTCCAATCTCGAGTAATTTAAGTGTGAAAGCTTGTCTCTGTAGGGCATCATAGGCAGCATCTGGCTCCATATAGATCATGAGAAGTTGTGGATACTGAGCCCGCTTGAAGAAGTAGAAGTCACGCACATAGGACTGCAGGTTGTGGATCTGATCTGTGACAAAGTTGAGGGGGTGTCAGATATGATTCACATTCAGAATGTATTTCAATGCGGCATTTTTTAAAATTTTGTATATTGTCAGGCTGTGAGTACTTCACCAGATAAATCATCAGTGGTGTGTATGTGTGTACAGTATGTATATCACTGTCATGAAGAATAAAAATGTTATTGTTAATAATGGACAGTGCTGTACTTAATATATGATTTCTCATAGTCAAGGATAGAAAACCTGTTAGGCTTATCAAGGTTCTTCTAGGCCATTGACCGACTTTCCCCCAGGATGGAATTCACAACAGTTGCCTAACTCTCGTGCTGTGTGAATCACACCTCAGGTCCTTTCAGTTGTGACCCAACTAAAATGAGTGCCTTAAAGTGTTCATTACTGATCTGACTTACCCAGGTGAGAATAAAGTACAACTCACTTGTTTTATGGTCCACCAGGAAGTAATACTTGTGGTCATTCTCAGCAATACTGAAAAAGTCCAGACTCTCCTGCAGGATCTGGCAAAACTGTGTGTCCTCCTGGATGGGGAACTGTCAGCAACAAAAACCAGGACTGTTTGTATTATGGTAGTTAAGCAAACAGCAAGCTGCAAACTAGCTAGATATTCAGGGACAAAAATATACGAACTCTATCTTGGCAGGCCAAATAAACAGACACAAATTTTACCTTCACTTTTTCTTTACTCTTTGGTTTCTCTGGTAGAAAGCTCACCAGACAAGTGAACCGTCTTTAAGTGCTGAAACCATTTGAAGGAAACACTGACTTTGGCTCTCACTTACATGATGTAGTTACCTGCCAATTACTTTCACAAAGGCACAGCAACATGTGTGAAGACTAAGGACTGCCTCAGTAAGAACAGGCAAGTGGAAAAACAACTGACAATGATTGAAAAAACAAAGGAGAAAATTATATATTTCTGTGTAACAGAATACTTATGACAAGATTTCTATAGACATAATGAAAAAAAAAAGTCTACAGCATGAATCAGGAGAATGGGTAATGAAAAGTGGAAGATGGGTAATGAAACAGAGTAGACACACAGAATTCACCTGAGAAGGAATACCACCACCATCGAGACCTCCCGGGCCATGGACAATGATCTTCTTTGCAGAGGGAACATTGGCAGTTACCAGAAGAGCCGAGTCACACTGCTCCTTCCGGAAAATTTGTTTTATGTCCTTGAAGAGTATTCCCTGGATGCTGGGAACCACCTGGAAATGAGAGACAAACTTATCTGAATGAACAAAGTGAAAAAACACCCCCCCCTGGATATTATTAAAACGAGATGAAAAATGTACTAAATGGACAAGTTTATGATAGAAACAATTGACTGCACAATATGACAACATTATATGTGAAACATTAATCCACAGCTTCCTATGCAAACAAAATATCTTATTAAATTAGAGAGTTACATAAACTTGGGCAATATATATGAGTGTGGGAGGGGTGGGGGAATTTTAGTTTAAAATCAAGAGAGTAAATACAATACTGTACATAGAATGTTTGAGAAGTGCAGGAATCTAGGTTAAATAAGAAAACTTAAAAACAACTATAGGACAAATAAAGGGGACAATAAATCATTAAAACATGACAAATATGAACAAATACATAAATACACCTTAGGATAAATATGGAAGTATAATTAATAAATACACATTGGGATAAACATGGAATATAATTAATAAATACAAATTAGGATGCACCCGGTACAATTAATAAATAAATGCTGTATAGAATAAACAATGGACAATTAAGAAAACATTATCATTGCACATTGCAAAATAATATATAATTTTAATTATTACATTAAATATTTTGTGCTTGTTTCATGTAATATAAATAAGAAGTTTCACTGAAACAACTGTGTCTGTCCCATTCACCTGGGCTCTAGGAGACTTGAACCGTGGACTCCACACATGTGAGGCCGAGGCTATATCGACCTTTTAAAAAGCTTTTAATTATGTCTGTCATCTGTATAGCAGTTTAATTGTCTTCTGTAGGGTAATCAGAATTACTATATAGCAATTGAAAGGGATATGAAGATGGAGTGGAAGAACAGTGCCCAACCACATGGGTCAACCAAGGATGGAATGCCAACCTTGCAAGCAGCAAGGCCATCAGACCAGTCCAAGTGCATGGACGGAGACACAGGGTATTAATGCTACTGCCCAAGAAGAATACTACTAAGTCGAAACAATTTAAAATATTATTGATATAAGGGGGAAATATAAATCAATACATATACAAAGAACAAGAGAAAGATTAGAGGAAAAGCAGAAAAAGAACAAAATAATTTGAGACAGGCAAGAAACAGAATATGTAACAAAATCTTACCGTCCAAAGTATGGAGAGAGCCGAGGCAATATGGTCCTGTGAAGCCTCTTGTGGACTCCGTACATAAAACATGACGTACCCAACCATGTAGTTGTACAAGGCAAAAGCTGCCTGTAATAATATATAGTCTTAAGGATCTGTGTTGGAAGCAAATGTTATAATTCTCAAACATAACCTTCAACTCTTTAACTTCACCTATTTATCCAATGGATAAAGACTAATAAGTACTATTATTATTTTTAGTGTTATAGATGGAAGTTTTTCAGATTCAAAAGTTTTAACTTAAAATGGTTAGAGAAAATGTTGTAAAACATAGATCAATTCCAATATATAAAACTACTATTCACACCTTTAATTTTGCTTGAAATAATTTATTATTTGCAAGATTTGAACAGTATACAGTAGTGTGTGGAAGGACTACCTGAGAGGGCAGCTGGGGAATGAAGCGGACCAGCCGACGAAGAAGGCGAACCATAACATCTTGACGTTCTCGTGTTAACTTCTCCAGAAAAAATCTTAGGAATAAAGCAGAGTCCTCCACCAGACATGACCAGATCACCTGGATTAAGTACACATTACAATATATGAGAATGTATATACAGTATAGCGTTTAATCTTGTGTGACATCAAAGCCTGATCTTGAGTGGCACCAGAGCATGACTTTGTGTAGCACCAAGGCATGACTTTGTGTGACACCAGAGCATGAGCTCATATGACACCAGAGCCTGACACTGAGTCACACCATAGCCTTACCTTGTGTGACACTTGGTTTGGCACTTTCCCTTGATAATTCCCTCCCTCCCTCTTTAAAATAAATATAGTACTGTACCTATGATTAAGCAATGACCCACACACAAGAGATATGCAGAAGTTAGAGAAGCAGGAGTGACAAGAAAGTTACTCCAGAAGAAAAGGACGTACTTAAACAACAGATGACTGTGAGTCACAAATAAGCCAAAAAGATGATGTAAATTTTTGTTCAGTGTCTGTAGTGAAAAAATGCAATGCAGTAAGGGAAATGTGGTAAGAACCCAATACACTTGGAAACCTATACACCAGTTGATCAAAAGTTGATAGGCTAAACCAAAGAACTGAAGCTCAACTGACATATGTACAACTAGGTGAGCACTAATACAAACCTGCTGAGCTGCTTCATAAACAGCAATACCATCCAGTGTAACAGCTGGGTCATCCAAGAGGTGGATGATGGTGAGAACAGCGGAACACAGGCATGACGGGAACAGCTGTTGGGCCACAGACACGTGATGTGATCCACCCCTCCCAAGCTCTGCCTCGACCTCTTCTCCAGCAAATTCTTCAAATAGACAGATAAAAACAAGGTTCATCATGGTATCCAAAAGTGCACAAGTCATATAGAAGATTAATCAGTTAGATAATAAGAGTCCACTGATATAAGGTAAATGTAAGTTAATGCATATATCTGTTACAAAATAAAGGGAGCACAGTAAGCTGAACATCAGTACCAATGTATCTCCTCATTGAGTGTTCAAATACACTGCAAACAGAAAGCACACTTTAATCCAGAAGATAGTGCAGGACTAAAGTTAACTCTCGGTGAACATAAACAGAGAAGCAGGGCACATTTTATTTTCCCTTCCCTACCCTTCCCTTCCCATTTTCCCTTCCTGCCATCCCACTGGTCTATGTATCCATTCCCTGCTACCATCACGTCTGTTTAGGCAATATTTACCTTCCTCATGGTCATCAGGGGAAACATGGTGAAGAGCTGGTTCATATGCTGCCTGAATGGTGACGGGGACAGTGGTAAGCAAGAAATTCTCCCTCTCAATGCGGCGCTTCTTCTCCTCTGCTTCTAAGGCAGATCGAACCATCTCTGCTTGCAACTTCCTCCTGGTCCTCGTGGCTGTTACGAATGATCTCTGAGTTGGAGAAAGAGGAAAACATGACATTTATCACACACATTATTACTACATACAGTACACACACTAATGACTAATATACGCACATGACTAACTGAAAATACTACATAAGAAATCTAGAGTTTTAAAAGACCACTTAATATTGGTATAAAGTTTTGTATAACTGGAAAGTACAGAAGAAAATGTTTCATTAAGGTAAACATCGGTTTCATTTATAGAGTAGCAAATTGGTTAAGTGGTCGTGATTTTAAACGTGCTTACGCTGGGGCCGGAATGAAAGAAAAAATATGTTGTCTTTGGAGAGCGGGTAGGTAATTTGAGAAAAGAAGACATCAGTAACTAAGGTTGATAAAATGAACTTTTATCAAGAGAAACTGTCAAGGGAAAGGACACTGTAAATTCATATGTACAATAAATGAAAAACGAATGAGTAAAAAAGTCGTGTTTGCAAGAGTCGTGGAGAGGAATACCCGTTAGGTTTACTAAGGCATTCCCCTAGGCTCACTATGAATCTCTCCCAGGAAACAACCCACAAGAGTTGCCTAACTCCAGAGTACTTATTTACTGCTAAGTGAACAGAGACATCAGATAAAAGGAAACGATGTTCAAACGCTTCTGCACTGCCATGGGCACTGAACCCAGGACCTTTCAGCTGTGACCCAACTGTGGTGACCACCTCACCACAGGTACTGAAGGCACCTAATAACTTAATGTGTGAGTTTTTCATGTACTGGACATTAAATTCCAGTACATGGTATACCCCCCATTAATACCCCATGTATGTCATTCATCCATGCATACATATAATAACACTTTATTCTGCACCAACACTCACATGTTGGATCTGGTTGACTGTAACTTCATCCACATTAGTCTTGAAGTGTGGCATCCAGGGAGGGTCTACCACAGGCAGAGACTCCACACCTATCTTTGGGGATGGTAATGTAAATTCAATTCCATGGGGAGGCACCTTAAAAGTCAGCTGGGCTCCCTCTTCCATCCGTGGCCAGGCTTGGTATCGTGACTGCCAGAGAACTTGAAACCTGCGAAAAATCATCCCCATTTTTTTTTGCTGTAGAAAAAATTACACATCATGAAAATCTACAACAAATAATATTGGAAATTCTATCAACGTTGATCAGGTATTCCTTTTAAACTCGTACCTATCAGTGACTACAGAGAAGCGAGATCTAGCTCTTCATGCCCTGCCTTCTAGCTGTTTACACCCATCAAGCTAATCACCAGTCTCAATATTAATGTTTTATTTTTTTTAAGCTGTGAATGGAATTGGCTTTAACAACAAACTCTTTTTCTTTCAATGCATTCCACTATCCTACCACCCATACAGGGAACGTGAACACTTCTTCGACTCGACTGTATATCCCATTTCCATGATGATCCCTTGTTCTACTATTTATGGAGTTCATGTAGATCTCTTTGTAAAGCCTCATTATCATTTTTGCTTCTTACTTTACCATAGATCTTAGTGTCATCTGCAAATATGATAATGTGCAGGCGATGAGTCACAATAACGTGGCTGAAGTATGTTGACCAGACCACACACTAGAAATTGAAGGGACGACGACGTTTCGGTCCGTCCTGGACCATTCTCAAGTCGATTGATTCTCAATCGACTTGAGAATGGTCCAGGACGGACCGAAACGTCGTCGTCCCTTCAATTTCTAGTGTGTGGTCTGGTCAACATGATAATGTGGTTTGTAATATTCTCATCTATGTCATTGATATAGATAACAAAAAATGGTTTGCCCAAGTTGGAACCTTGCAGTACCCCACCTACCACATTTCTCCAGTCAGATTCAATCCCATTTAGCATGACATTTTGCTTTCTTTGTTTCAACCATTGTTTAATCCATTCTAGTACTTTACTATTTTTTCCAGGTACAGTACTTGTAATTTCCTTGCTAGTATGTTATGTGGTACCTTGTCAAAAGCTTTAGAGAAGTCCATGTATATTATGTCTACTGGAAGTCCTTTGTCTGAACAGCTGATTACCATTTCCAAGAAAGTGAGCTGGTTAGTTTTCACAAATTTCTTTTGACAGTTCTTAAAACAGTGTTCTCTCTTTGGCATTTGTATATTCTGAAGATCCAAATACAATATATCTTATTACCTGTAACAATGACCCTGACCAAGCTCTTTTAGTAATCAAGTTTTCCAGGTCCATAATCCTAGTTTTATCTCGTATCATTTTTGCACCTGTCACTTTAGTCAAAGTTAGCCATATCACCCTGAGCCTGCAACTTTGACTTCTGTTGTCATACCTTGAACCTGCAACCCTGACTTTTGTTGTCTCACCCTGAGTCTGCAACTCTGGCTGTTGTTTCACACTGAACCTGCAACTCTAACTTCTGTTGTCTCACCCTTATACTCAAGATAGGGTCATGCAGAGGTCTGCACAAAACAGTACAGTAGCAAGCAAAATTGGTGAGCTAAAATAGAAAATATATAATGATGGATGGCAAATTCAAAACTAATGAGAGTTAGGCACTGTCCCTTGAGTGAGATGGTGATGCATAACATACCTGAGAATAGCATTAAGTCTTGTATTGGGGTCTTGGTGGGTGAGCTCTCGGGTCATAACGTCAGAGGTGTGGACCGGAATGCGGACTCCTGCGAGGATGAACACCACTGCTGCTGTTGCTGTCACCTGGCATATGGAAAGATGTTAGCACATGTGCCTGCGAGGATGAACACCACTGCTGCTGTTGCTGTCACCTGGCATATGGAAAGATGTTAGCACATGTGCCTGCGAGGATGAACACCACTGCTGCTGTTGCTGTCACCTGGCATATGGAAAGATGTTAGCACATGTGCCTGCGAGGATGAACACCACTGCTGCTGTTGCTGTCACCTGGCATATGGAAAGATGTTAGCACATGTGCCTGCGAGGATGAACACCACTGCTGCTGTTGCTGTCACCTAGCATATGGAAAGATGTTAGCACATGTGCCTGCGAGGATGAACACCACTGCTGCTGTTGCTGTCACCTGGCATATGGAAAGATGTTAGAAAGAGCACCTGCCAGGTTGAATGTCAATGTTGCTCTCATTTGACACAGGTAAGCATATTGGCACTAGATACTGAAGAGTGATTACAAAATCACTCATACTATAATTGGCTTTTCACACTATATCTTGTAGAACCAGAACAATTATCTTACACCATGTATACAACATTAATATATGCAAAAGAACTAGCAAAACCCATCTATGGATGTGTGTGTGTGACTGGGCCTGAAGAGGGTACTGTATTACTGACTGACCTCATTATCATACTCCAGCAGCAGTTCCCAGGCTTGTGGTACGACATCCAATAACAGGTCCTCTGTCATCACAGCTACGGCTTTGCACACCACTGATAGTGGTACATGACTCAAACCCTTCACCTGAAATTAGTATCTGTTAAGTATTGTACATATAATAAGCTTGTGTAAAAATATAAATGTTAAGTATATTCATGTCTCAGTTCTTCAGGATAAGGCTGTGGATATTACCTGAGTTTTCATGTATTTAATTATGGGTATGTCACACTTCCTAGGCTTCTTTTTCTCCTCATCTTTATGGCTACTATCCTTTGTAGCCTCCTTCCCATCACCTTAAGAAGAAGAGTCATGGCTTTGATAAATATATTTTTTAAGTATTCAGTAAATATAAACTTATAATTTTACCAAGAAATTAACAACAGAGAGTGCTAAGCCAGTATGCAGGTCACAAAAGATCCAAGAGTTCCTAGATTGTTTATTTTTTTACAAACTTGTATAATTAATTATTTGTGTGAAGGTATTCAACAGGACGATCCCTTAGCCCCCCTCCCTCCTTTTTTGTTTAGCTATCAAAGAGGTCACTGATAGTCTGACAAGTGAGCTAAACATCCGGTTCCTGGATGATGGTACCCCTTGCCAGAACTATAGATATCATTATGGAGGGTATATGGAAAATCCTGGAGCAAGAATCAACTTTAGGCTTCATTCTCAATGCATCCAATGGTAAAACAGTCTCCCCCAACCTATACATTACTGAGCAAATAAAAACTGTTTTGCCAGACATTTGCATTATTAAGCAGCTAACTGGACCTTCCTGGGTGCCCTCATTGGCTTGCATGCAATCGAGGAGGTCCTGGATCCAAAAATCACCGACTTATAAAAGGATGCAGTACGGAAGTGACAAAATCGATGCTAATGATGCGCCTCTACCTCCTCACAAGGTGCCTATTTCTACCTAGGCTGACTTAATTTCTGAGATGTTCTCCATCACACAGCAGCACTAAATTAAGTGAGTATGACACCCTTTTGACGTGCATGCCACAGAAAGTCCTCAACCTCCCACTGGATTACACCCAGAATCCTCAATTGAAAGTTGAGAAGAGTTACTGTACTACCGAGACCTCAACTGTGTCTGTCATTTTTGTGAATATTACATACTGTCTCAGTATGTAAGTAAAGTATGTTAGTATGGTTACCTATAAAGATGCAGAATCTGAAATAAAGTAATTTATCCCTTTTATCATTAAATATTGCATTAAAATTGTATTTAACCATTAATATATGTTGGTTTGTATTTGTAATTTAAGAAGGTTATTCACCATCTGTATCAATGGTATCCTTGGAAAGGTGAACAGCTGATCCCTGGTGGTGACCAAGCCTGGACAATACTGCAGATATATCCACACTCCGGTCGATCCTACAAACAGCAGAAGATATACAATTAATGTGATGATCTAGTACTGTATGTTAAACACTGAACATTTTACATTCACCCCAGGACCATATGAGCACCAACATACAACCACCTAAGACCTTCCATGTGAACACCAACATACAACCACCCAAGACCTTCCATGTGAACACCAACATACAACCACCCAAGACCTTCCATGTGAGCAACATCCAACCACCCAAGACCTTCCATATAAACACCAACATACAAACCACCCAAGACCTTCCATGTGAGCAACAACATACAACCACCCAAGACTGTCCATGTGATCACCAACATACTTATCACGACGGGCAAAGCTCTCCTTCCTCTTGAGTGGAGAGCTGTGGCCCTGCTCTGATGCCTTTCTTCCCTGTTTCTTCTCTTTCTTAGCATCGCGTCCAGGGTCAACCACATTAGCTGCCTCCTCCTCCTGCTCTTCAAACTCCTCTCCATACATCTGACGAAAAACATGCCACGAAAGATATCAATAACAATATCAAAAGATTTCCATAACATTGGTTTGCTTACCTCAAACTATCTATTTATTGTATAACATGGATACTTTGATTTCTTCAGTTGATTGTTGGCAGGATTCTGCAGCTACATTTTAAGTTCAGTGTTGGCATGAAATGTTTTTCTAATTACAAGTTATTTTAACCTTTGTATTTTCTGATGTCTTTGTGTTTTAAGATAATTGTGTTTTACGATAATTTTACAATTACATACTTTCATAATTGCACATTTTGATGGCTTTGTGTTTAGTGATTTGTCCTTCATAACTGAAGGTTTTGATGTCTTCATGCTTACCAAGACAGTACTTCATCTTAGTAACTATATGTTTTGATATTTTTGTGTCAAGCGATATTTTACCTTCATAATTGTATGTTCTGGGGTCTTCGTGTTTAGCAATATTTTACCTGAGTAACTGTATGTTGTTTACGCTTTGTCTTTAGCAATATTTTACCTTCTTGAGTACATGTTTTGATATGTCATCGCAAATAAATGATCCACATTGAAAGTACAATACAGGTAACATGATGTTCAGTTCTATTGAGGACATGCAATAGAACTGAACCTGGATCTTTGAATACCCTAAGCACATGCACAATTGACTGAACCATGATGAACCATTTTGAGCTTATCATGGTTTAGTCGATAGTACTAAAGGCTAGAGACTCGACTGTGCCTGTTGATCCCATCCTATGGCCTCAATATTTTCTGAAACAACACAATAGTTTACCTTCCTGACCGCATGCATAAGCCTTCTACAAGCTCGCATGTTCCTCTTATAACAGTGAGGGTGGCAGAAGGTCTGGTGGGTGCAGGTCATGTTGTATAGTGAAGATACTCGTACTATGGTCTGGAGAGAAAGAGTGAAACATTATACACATTTCCTCTGCCTTCAAATCCTCCCTGTTTACAATAAATCCCCCCAATGTTCACCATAAATCCCCATGTTCACCATAAATCATCCATGATCTATAAATACACCATTCCCAATAAATCATTACAGTTCCCCCATAAACCCAACAAGTTCGACATAAAACATTTCCTCTTGTCTATAAATACAGTCTTGTTGTCCAGTGCACTATTGTTTTCCTGTTATTGTTTAACACTCACTCAGTCAGGAGCTGAAACATTAAATACAAGAGAATTTAAAATACAGGTAACATTTCAATAATCATTATCTGTAAATAAAGTCCATTCTGAATGTGTTACTTGAACTACATAAAAATCCAACATTGTGTTCCTCCTCTGTGGTGCCTAATTTATCATTCAAATATCCTCCTAATTAGCCATTTTTAATTTGAATTACTGTTCCTCTTATTTCCTGAGTCACTATGTCCTTCAATTTCATTGCTCAGTTAATTCTAATTAATCTAAAGTTAATTCTAACCTTCAATTCCTTTGTGTCAGTCTTGGTAACTTTTTTCACATCCCAATATCAACAATCAACTTTCCCTTCATATCCTTCTCTTTCTATAGAAATTATAATAATGGTTCTTGGGTAAGATAAATACTCAACTTGGCTCACTTATGCAATATTACTTGTATTTTGCTGCCCGAAATGCTGCGCGTACTAGTGGCTTTACAAGATCTTTACTTTACATCTTCAAAGTTTAATTTCTATATTCTTCAATGGAACTCTTCAAAAGCATTACTCCTTTATACCTAATTTGAATGATACTTAATGCTTATACAACATGAAACGTATAAAAGAAATTAGAGACCTTGAGCCAAGGCATGTTAGAAGTTAGACTCTCCTCATCGATATCCCCATCAGTAGGACTCTCCGGCAGCTCCTCATTGCTCAGGACTCCGGGCGACTCTTCCCCTGATACCTTGAACAGTGAAACAAGTGGAGAGCGAATAAATAATATGATAGGGAGGGAACAAATACTAGTCAGAAAGGGGGAAAGGATCTAGAATGAGGCACACACAAACAGAACATTATCAGTGGCAAATGCAAGGTTTGCAAATATATGAGCTTTTGGGAACATGAACACAGAATGATTCGGACCACTATATACTTGCTATGTGAAACAAGCATCAGAGTTAGGGCACCTATGTGGAATGCAAGTCTGCTGTAGCATGTAAGAGACCTAAACAAAGCCTTAAGATATGCCTCAAGTTGTCCTTAGGTTCTAAAGACATACTTAAAAAGCCAAATGCCATATTGCTGTTGAAAGGAAGAGGCAGGAAACATGACCATAGCATACATAACACTTAGCCTATGTCAACTGGCAAAGTGGACAAAATGTACATTTAGCATTTTGAGATTTGAATTTTCCCACCAAAATTCAGTATGATTGCTAATTAATGATATTAAATTTTGTTACAAAGATAACTTAGTGCTGTGTATAGAGTACAGTACTTTCAATTACTGTATATAAAATATACAGTTTCAATTCAATTCAGTTTGAATGCAGCTGGCACCTGTCCCATTTTGGATAAAAAAGTTTAGAGAATCATCCCTAAGAAAACTAAAATGAACACTGGAAAGAAAGAGTACAATAGTGAGTGGAAACCACTCTAAAAGTGAAGGAAAATGTCATTAGTGGATTCCACTGTAAATACATGAACAAAGAGGGATTATACATACAGCAAGTCTAAGGGTAAAGACTTAAAATAAAAGGCAAGTAAATACTGTATAGATGATACATACCTCTTGCTCTAAGTGTTCAGAAGTGTCAGATCGTTCACTGACAGCAGACACTTTCCTTCGTGATCGGACACTGTCAGATCTCTTGATAGCTGTGGAAGGATGCACTTCTCATACATCAATTGTTTAATCTGAACTAACATTCTGTAACAACTTAAAAAAGAGGAACTACAAATTTATAAACATCATTATTCATATTCTTGCAAAGCATTAACGGTAGCAAAATATAGAGGAAAGCAAATCTTATTCTGAAACTTGACCCATCTATAGGGTATGCTCACCCAAACTGCACCCATCCTTAAAAGTGCATTCATAAATATTTTGTGTATTATTAGAACTAGGGTATGTTACGACTAAGTACTTTGGTTTTGTTGACAATTTATCTGCATCTGCAGTACATGGGTGAATCCTTCAAAAGAAAAGTGCTTTGAGCATAGGTAGTAAGTGGTGCACTGTTGAAAAAAAAGTTTGAATGTAATAATCTGTGAGTTATGTGTAAAGTGTTCTAATATATAAACAGTTAGGGGGAAGGACAGCTGCTGGAGTAGAGAGTATTTGTACAATGAACTCACCTAATTGTGCTTGCGGGGGTTGAGCTTCAGCTCTTTGGATGTATTAAAGATGTAAGGATTAACGATCCTTCATGTATTACAGATAAGATGTGATACTTACAGTCAGAGTCAGGGTCCTTGCTTCTGCGGCTGAGTTTGAATGAGCGTCGCTTGAATGAGGAGTTGTGACTGGCACCCTTCTTTAGGAGGTGGTGACTACGGCTCGACTGCACCGCTCGTCTACGGTCCTCGTCACAGTACTGTCCACTCTGTTAGTGTTCCAGGGTTTTAGATGGTTACTTTCAAGTAAAACTTAACAATCATTATATTAAGTCTACAATCAAGCTGTAAGTCTTAGACTTTCCAGCGTGACCTGCCATAAGACCTTGCAACCATCTGATAAATGCTACCAATTTTTTTTTTTAATTTTAGCATGTACAAATTATTGCTTCAAAAGATATTAATTTTATGCCCAGTCTAGGAACCAGTCTTTCCGCTGATAGCTTTAGTGATTCAAAAGTATTTGTTTGAACCGAGAGATTTTAATTTACAATGAGTATCTCTCATTAAAGCATGCAATTTACATTAAAGCAAAGCAATATATTTCAATAATAACCCAACCCACACACATGAAAACAAAGGAAAGTAATAATGTTTTGGTCAGTCATGAACACTTATCAAAGAAGTGTAAACATCATAAAACATCAAGATAGCACTAATGACTAAAATAGTCAAGGAATGTTCCACAAAGATAGTAGAAACATATACACTGGGTGACTAGAGAAGTGCACAGAAAATGTGCACTTCTTGCACATTTATAACATATATATAAAATGATCCTTGTTAAAGGTGGGATTTTGAAACTCCTGCCAAAGTAGCAGCTAGCCCTGCACATGTGTTGTAGACATTCATCATGGGAAGAACTATCCCCTCTAAATGAATATAAACAAATGCTATTACATATAAAGAAACATTCCCATGTACATTTAATGATAGAAAATCGTATGAAAATACTAGTCTTAAATGTAGAAAACCAGTTCTAAACTCTACAAGGAATAAGAAGAAACATAAATTGAAGCCAAAAAAATTGGAATGTTGGGTGCACTAGATGAACACAAGCCATGACTCGTCCACTGTGTTGTGGGATAGAACCTAGGGCGGACATCCTCGACCACACTTCACATTATCAGAGTTGGCAATGAACATGCAGCATATAGCATATAATGCAGAAATGGCTTATATTTCCTATCATTTTCATATCATGCACAGAGGTAGGTCAGTGTTGTAACAAATGTATGTTGCAAATTAATATGCTTTAGAGTGCAACATAAAGGCTAAAGTAGAAAGAGACAAAGATGAAACTTGACCTACAGCTGTGGTTGATGGGTGTATAGGAAGGAATGTGTGGGATGGAACATGATCTATAGCTATGGAAGGTGGGTGCGTGGGATTCAAACCTGTACCGTGACTGTGGTGTTGGAGCTGCCCAAGCTTACGTTGTCTGGGTCATGAAGGGCAAAGCTGATCTTACGTTCACCGGTAAATCCAGCTGTTGAAAAGCATCATTTGTGTTTAGTTTCTAAAAGCTTTTGTTTCTCATTTTAGGTGACTGAACATTACAGCTTTCATGTAAAAAATACAAATCAGAATTTAAAAAGAAAAATAGCTTATTTAGGTAATTAGAGTGGGAAACTGGCATTTATATAAAATAACAAAATGCAATTGCCAATAAGTAATGAGAGAGCTAGAGTAAAATTCATGGAAATTAGCCTGTTTACACATATGTGGAAAGGAATTATGGCAAGAAGAATTTGAGAAGAGATAATGGAAATAATATTACTGCACTGTAACAGCCACTTAACAAAACTAATATGATACATCCCTACCTGGGTGAGCTTCACCAATGCTCTGGAGGCTCTGAGCAGAAGGATGGGAGTACCCCATAGAAGAGAGGGCCATGGACCACCTCCTGTTGGGGTCCCTTCCAGGTCCCAACCCGCCACAGGGACCACCCCAGGCTAATGGTCGCTCCCCACGAACAGACATCCTATAGAAGTCAATCCACGGGTCATTCAATAATTTTATTCACAAATGATTGTACAATTAAAATAGATATAGTTAACAAAATTCAAGAACATAATTCATTTATATAAGAAATTAAAATGATAATAATCTAATAATGATCATTTGAATTATACATAAAGAAATTATGCTATTTGAGTGATTCACTAAACTACGAATAACAGGTTTACAAAAAGCAGGAATTCCATACACACAATAAAGATGCCTTTGTTCTTTCCCTTATTATACCATTATTTTTAACACTAAATAATATAGAATTTATAAATTTTCTAACCACCTTGTAGACTTTGGTAATGCAGTGTAGGTCTCCCTCAAGAAGGCTGTAATTTCCAGCAGTACCTGCACCGCCACTAGCTTCAGCGCCATCGGACAGTCAGCTCCTCCAGGATTGACACTGACTGCAGGAGATGACATCCTAAGTAGCAAAGTTTGTTCATGTATATGTTTGGGTTCCTACATCCATTTTCTGTGTACCTCTCAAGTATTCAGAAAAGAACATTTTTACTGGGACCACAAATGTAAAATAGCTAAAGAACAATAACAGCTATAAATTGTAAAGGAAGAGGCATGGTTCTCATGGAGTTTTGTCCCAAAGCTCCATCACCCAACAGTTTCTAGTAATGTATTAATATACAGTGTACAGTACACAATTATTTCATTTGGTGCTTAAATAAACTGTATTTTTTAAATTATTAACTAAAGTAGGAATAGATTCAACTCAGAATCCATGGGTTAACAGTAACACTTATTTTTTATGATACGTATAGTATTATCTATGTTTAACCACCCCCATTGTTGTGCTACTGTTTACCTATAACTTGTCTATGTGCATTTCTAGCTTATTACGTTCACCCTTTTCCTTGACCTTCATAGCATACAGTATAAAAAAAACATATTTGCTTCTATCCTTATAGATAAATAAACTAGGACAAGTATTATAGCTAAAGTTTGCTGTGCCCTTGCATTTTCATATGTACCCCTCACAGTGTTTTAAACAAATGTAATTACAGTATAAATACTGTGTAAAACAAAACATCCATATTTCCCTCTGCCCTTACATAATTTCCATTATAGCTATCATCATATGACTTGTTTTAAACAATGAGTGCTCTAGTGAGCAGCAAGAAGATTGTATGACTTTGTGACAGTTTTCCATGTTAGATTACTAGCCAGTGTTTGTCCAGTGATGTGTATTTTTGGCTAATTGATTGAGAAGGCATACCACAAGTGAGCAAGTTATAAACAGTAGGTACAACTGAAAGACCACAAACAAGAAGTCTTACTCTCATCAAGAAAGTCTTCCTCTTCGTCGTTGGCTCTGAGGGCACGGCGAGTTTCTGTATCAGTGATGGGTGTCACAACCTCCTCTACTGTGGGTCCAGACTCCTCCAGGAGTTCCTCCAGACGGGTTCCAAGAGCCTGTGTCAAAGAGTTATTCTAGTATGAATAAATACTAGAAAAATATTATATACAAGTTAATCTAGTATGAGTAAAGTTCTATTAAATTTCTGAACTATACAGTATTGAGATCTTCAGTTACTTACAGATTATAAATAAGTATGTATGAAATGAAAGTACTGTACTAAGCAAGCATGCCCATGTGGTACAGTACTTTAATGTGCAACTCGGTAGTACAATCGAGTTTGTTCTTGACTTACAATTGGGAATTCCAGGTTCGATTCCTGGGTGGGTTACAAATGGTTGCATATATTTCTTATTTATGTCTAGGTATGAGAGAGGTTAATTAGGTAATTACTTAGGTAATTAAGTTTATTATTTTTAATTAAGGGTATTAAGGGTATTGTTTATTTTGAGTAATTAAGGGTATTGTTTATTTTGAGATTTATTTGATTAGAGGATTTATTGCCAAACAGAATATAGAAAGTTTTGTCAATGTTAAGGGTGAGTTTGTTGGCAGTTAGCCAAAGATGGACTTTATTTAGCTCAGTATTTACTGTGGCTAAAAAACCTTGACATGCACTTGTCAAAAAATCTCTGATGAATTAATCATAGCATGCAACTACACTAAATGTAGTAAATATAACTGTATGAAAGAGGGCTTGATAAACCCAAGCGCAAATCACATTTTTGTATCCTACCTCAGCCCACTGGTAGAACATCCTACCAGCCCCACGCTGAAGGATGTTCATCCTTCTTGCCCCTGAAGGCAGAGCTCGGGAAAGAGAAACCGAGGGACGGTACATTGGGAGCGACATCTTAATCCAAGCTGGCCAGGCCCCACGGTTGCATCGATGGATAAAGTGTGCAATCTCCATTAGGAATGCTGCGCGTGCAATAACTGGAGCACCAGGCTGAATAATAGAAAAATCTTTGAATTTCAGTTTGTAAAAACATATATACATTATATATGATGTTCTCTAAAAACATTAGTGAGTTACCCAGTAAACCTAAAAAATACTCCATACTTTTTACAAAGACTGTAATAGCCAAACTATTTTATATGTATTTTTATATATTCACACCCAAACTGGAGGTGTGAGTAGTTGGTGCAGGGGGTCCGGGGCTTCCCCCACCCTCATTTGCTTGTTTCCTTGGGTATTGAGGGTGGTCTGCCTCTCTGTTCGGTGTTCGGTTGCAATTTTCTTACCAAGTGAGATTTGTTTTGGTATGTTTACCTTTCTGGGTGCCTAACCCTGGTCAATGGCAGACAAGGAATACCCCCAACCACATGGGGGTTTCCATAGGCCATTGCTCCCTTGCCTTTCTGAGGGGGGGGGGCAGATTCTGGCTCGTGGTCCCTGGTAAGCTGAACTCCAATTGACTGATGCCCCAGACTAATATATCGCATATCAGTCTGATAGCCCCAGGGAGCCAAAGGGGCTCCCCCATAGAAAACATGTAATAAATATATAACATTCATTGAGAGATTAAACAAATCAAAGTAATGATACTCCAGCAAGTCATATTCATAATGAATTGATTGAAGATTAATGAAGTATGGTATTGAACAATCCACTGACCAGGTCTAAGACAGCAGCTATGAGCTGAGGGTCAGGCACTGAGCCGGGCTGGCAGGTTTCCAGCAGGAAGCTGAAACGTTGCATACCGTTCCTCACCATCTCCATTGGAACCAGCTTCCTCTCCCTCACCAGCACCACACTCGTCTCCCTCACCCCACCTTCCTGGTCTAGGCTGTTCCTCCGGCTGGGGTCTAAAGCATTACAAATTCATGCATTAATATATCTCGTGCTGAATCATTGGATGATAGTTATCTAAATGGAGTACAGTACAGTATTTTAACACAAAATACAAAATTTACCCGAGATATTAACAGACATCATTTAATTAAAATTGATTTAATGTAACAAATTTAGATCAAAACGTATTCCCTGCAACAAACATACTAAATTCAACAGCAGTTCATGAAGTCTGTATGGGCCAACCAACAACTTATTAACAACTGTAAAACACCATTTCCTCTTATTTTATGCCACCACTACACCTTGGGAAATGTCAGCACATGTGTCAAGCTTACCCGGAGTCTCATCACAGCTGTAGTCTTTCTTCTTGATCTTTCCGAAGCCAATGCGCCCAATGTGGTCTTCCATCCTGCGACGGGCCTGCATCAGCTTCACACTCATAGGTCTGGAAGAGTGAATAACTATAAATATAATTATTTCATTGTGTCGGGGGACAGGCAGCCAGTTTATACATACAGTACATGTTAGGCTTATATCGAGATTCCCCCAAGGGTTGAATTACTAACCCTCCCCAGAATGCAACCACACAACAAGCTGACTAACTCCTGGGTACGTATTTACTACTAGGTGGACAGGGGCATTAGAAGACAGGAAATGCGCCCAGCCATTTCTGTCCCACCTGGGATTTGAACCTGGAATTCTCAATTGCGAGTCGAGAACAAACCCAACTGTACTACCAGGACCCTGAAATGTTGTCATATGTAAGTAAACAAAAATTAAATGAATAATGGGTGCAATGTAACTCCACAAAATAGTAGTTGATCTAGAGTTCTATTTTCAACCAATACTACATTTAATTGGTTAAAAAATTACAGAATAAGATGTATTATATATCTGAAAGAAACAAACATTACAGCAGCCATAGTCATTCTTTCACAATGGGTGGATGATGGAGATTAGGCACCAAGGCCAAGAACTGAGGATGTGGTACCATTCTGCACTACATAAGAGTGTTCAGACAAAATTACTACATGCATTCACAACTCCAGTATGATGATAATGTTGGGAGAGATATTTGGATTTTTAGACAAAAATGGGTTAACAGAATACTACTGATGATACTACTTACCCAGCTCCAGGTTTGGTAATCAGCCTGGGACGAGTAACGCCCCCACCCATCAATCCGTGAGAAATGCTGTGAGATGCTGTGTGGGAGAGGCGGCGAGCGAGAGCAGGTGGCAGCTCTACTGGCTCCCCAAGGAATGGATGGATGCCTAATCCCTCTCCTTCCATGCTTCGACCACGCAGCCAACTCACTGGTGAAAAGAAAAAACCTATTTTATGTCCATTTTATTGACAGTGCAAGTACCTTCAGATGATTTGAGTGTTGCCGCCAGAGAGTTTATTGCGCAATCCATATACAGTACATCTTGTGAGCTGTAGTACAAAAAAAAATAATAAATTACAGAGGGATATAAAAGGTATTAATCAGTCCTCAGCAGAGATTTTTATATAAACAATTACATCTATCATGCACACGTATGTATTTACAATAAATTATTATACATTGATAGTAGATCATTTGTTAATACTGTACCTAAAATAATTTAACTATGGGGTATTATAGGATCAATGAAAAGATGCTTTTAATATTATTAGTCGTTACACTCCACAGCTTAAACATTAGTCTTACATGCATGTCACATAATGGACATTTATCTATGTACCACATGTCATTTATCTACCTATTCATTTATATGTCATTTATCAATCTATTTATCAATAACATTTATCTATATATAAATCTATTATTTATCTATCTATTTATCTATCTATTTATCTATGTATGTCATTTATCTAGCAGAAGATATGCTAAGAAATTACCCCAGTGCAAATCCTTTATCAAATTAAATATAAATGAATCAACCTAATTAAATACATGGGTAATACTTTAAATATTAGCCCCTGGGATCAATAACTTTGATCCATTTCTGGCTGAAGAGATTGCATGTGCAATAAAGTTAATTAATGAATATTTATTCATATAATACTCCATTCTCTCATAATCAACATGGCTCTTATCTCCTTTATGATTACAAATACTGTATCTTTTTTTTTTTTTTTTTTTTTTGAGATATATACAAGAGTTGTTACATTCTTGTACAGCCACTAGTACGCGTAGCATTTCAGGCAAGTCCTTAATCCTATGGTCCCTGGAATACGATCCCCTGCCGCGAAGAATCGTTTTTTCATCCAAGTACACATTTTACTGTTGCATTAAACAGAGGCTACAGTTAAGGAATTGTGCCCAGTAAATCCTCCCCGGCCAGGATACGAACCCATGACATAGCGCTCGCGGAACGCCAGGCGAGTGTCTTACCACTACACCACGGAGACTGCTACACAGTCTATACAGCATAGTACAGTAACTGTATTGGATCTATGCATAATGCTAAAGCCATATTTTTTAAATTTTCTGGGAGAAGACACTGAGGCTCACCCAGAAACTGGCATTTCATTACATTCAATGCTGGTTTTTACCCTTAATCTGTCTTGCTATTTCAGACTTTATTTATAAAGTTAATTTAATAATAGCCAGTTTTAATATTTTCATACACACCCAGTCAACTGACTGCAAGTGAGGCACTGAACATTCTACAGTTCAGTGCTAATAATCTTCCATTAAATTTCATATATGTTGGCCTACATCAGATATGAACAAAACGTATCAACTGGGAAGCGCATACCATTGGATTTAGTAGTAATTTTTCCAGACTTTAAGATTTGGTATTGTTTGCATATGATTATTTCTTAAGAGTTTATTAGTGCTGTGAAAGTTTTTAACAAATTTTTAAAATTTATTACATTAATATTAATTTAAGTATATTAAGTTTCACCAATTTTAAGTGTTAAGAAATTATTAGTTTTCTTCTTGAATGCATGTTCATGTGTGGGATACATAACACAGGACTTACCAAGCTTGGAAACCCTTCTGCCTTTAGGGTTGGCATTAGGGGCGAGGTGATCATGTTCTGAGGGTCGTGGTCCCATCATCTGGTGGTGGCGACGACGAACTGTTGACACAGGACTCTGACCACCAGTCGAGTCCTCAGCAACACATAACATGTTACGTAAGAGATCATACAAGAAAACCTATTCACTTAATGTCAATATTTATAAATAGAAGTGAAGGTTCTATTTATAAATAGAGGTGAAGGTTTTTTTTTACAAAAATGTTCCATATCTTCTCATTTAATTAATCAAAGTCAATTTTAAATAATTATAAATGTTACTCAGATGGATTTCTCACCTCTTGCTGCTCATCATAAACACTACTAACAGATGGGGCTTTCCTGATGACAGACGTAATGGAAGAAGAGGTTGATTTTTTCTTGAAAATTCCTTTTCTGCCTTTCCCAGCATCTCCTCCTTCCTCTGTCATGGTTGGAGGAGAGTCTCGGTAGGTGTCCTCCTCCACTGTCACTCGTCTGCAAAGTGAGATCACTAATTTGTCAGAAAATTATGAGGAATATTTTCCTGTTTTTTCTCTATCAATTCAAAGTAGATTATATAATCCTGTTTCAAAGCAACCTGTTGAGGACAGGTTGCCTTGAGACAAGATGCACCACAGCTTTGGCATTATTGGCTGTACCATAAACATTTTGATGCATTAATGAAATTCAAACAACCAATATATTGTTTTGACACTTCCTCGGACTAATAATCATCAATCTTAATAGGTTAGATGGGTTACGTAGGTACTTACACTTCTGGTTAAGGAAAACCACTTATAATTTAATGCTTTCTAAATCATAGGAATGTGATGCTCAAGGAATGTTCCCCAAAAATTTAAGACATCAACACCTGCAGTGACAAAATTGTTTACATAATGGTAAAGAAAGTTATATAAATTCTACATATAAGTGTACCACATACACTTAGTGCTCACTTACTTGTAAATATGCATTTATGACTCGTCCATCTATAAGGCTTCACAAAGCCCAATATTTCCTTTTCTGAATGGACTCACTCTATACAAAGTTCTGCATAGCACCATGGCTTACTGTTATAAGACTTCATAATAACCAAGACCATTGTCATTATAGATAGTCCTAACAATTAACAAAAGATATACCATCAACTGGTTATGGCCATACAGAACCTTCAGTGAGGCAAGATTTCACTAAATCCATGATTTCAGTATCAACATTAATATTACTCTATGAGTGAAAAAGTACATCCATTTTTCTAACCTACATTGTGGTTTGTTGAACTGGAAGTTGTTGCCCCTTGTGTGCATTATATTAGACCACTGGAAGAAGTGGTCAAGATAAATATCTTCTAATTTGTTCAGTGCGGTATTCTGTTTTTTTTGTATGTGAGTGCACGTGTTCCCCATTCTGTTATGTACTTATAAATAAATGTAAACATTCTTGTGTGGGTTAGAACAGCATGTGTAATCTTATAATCTATCATCGATATATATGATCATGTCTCTAAGTGTAATTACCTAAGTGTAGTTACAGGATGAGAGCTACGCTCGTGGTGTCCCGTCTTCCCAGCACTCTTTGTCATATAACGCTTTGAAACTACTGACGGTCTTGGCCTCCACCACCTTCTCACTTAACTTGTTCCAACCGTCTACCACTCTATTTGCGAAGGTGAATTTTCTTATATTTCTTCGGCATCTGTGTTTAGCTAGTTTAAATCGTGTGTGTGTGTGTGTGCGCGCAATTACCATGGTGTAGTTACAGGATGAGAGCTATGCTTGTGGTGTCCCATCTTCCCAGCCCCTCTTTGTCACATAATGCTTTGAAATTGCTGACGGTATGCCTCCACCACCTTCTCACTTAACTTGTCCCAACCATCTACCACTCTGCAAAAGAAAACTTTCAAATATTATTTTGGCACCATTGTTTCCTTAGCTTGAATCTGTGACCTCTTGTCCTTGAGGTTGCCGGTTTCAGGAATTCCTCTTTATCAATACAATATTGTCAATTCCCAATATTATTTTGTAAGTGATCATATCACCTCTGTTTCTTCTATCTTCTAACTTTGAAATATTTGACACCTCTAGCCTCTTTTCATAGCTCTTGTGTTTCAGTTCTGGAAGCCATTTTTTAGCAGACCTTTTCACCCTTTCCAATTTATTGATGTGCTTCTTATGGCCACCATACAACTGCTGCATATTCCAATTTTGGTCTCACAAAAGTCATGAACAATTTCTTTAGTATATCACCACCCATGTAGTTAAAAGCAATTCTGAAGTTGGAAAGTGCAGCATATGCTCCTTGTACAATGACCTTTATGTGTTCCTCTTGGTGACATTCTACTACGGTATCCAGAACCACCCTTAGATCTCTTTGTTAGAGTTCTTAGAGTCCTTTCCACATAATTTATAGGTTGAGTGTGGTTTATTTTCTACTGTGCCACATTCCATAATATGGCATTTATTCACAATTAATTCCATTTGCCACATGGTGCTGCAAGCACTTATTTTATCTAATTCAACTTGAAGGGCATGGCAATTGTCTATTCCTCCTACCTTCTCTAGTAACTTAGCATCGTCAGCAAACATGTTCATATATGTGTACAGTATGTGAGTGTGTGTGTGTGTATGTGTATAATTTCCTAAGTGTAGTTACAAGATAAGAGCTACGCTCGTGGTGTCCTGTCTTCCCAGTCCTCTGTCATATAACACTTTGAAATTACTGACGGTTTTGGCCTCCACCACCTCCGCACTTAACTTGTTCCAACTGCCTACCACTCTGTTTTCTAAAGTGAATTTTCTTATATTTCTTTGGCAGCTTTGTTTAGTTAGCTTAAATCTATGACCTCTAATTCTTGTAGTACCAGGTTCCAGGAATTCTTCCCTTTCAATATGTGTGTGTGTGTGTGTGTATATATAATACATGCATGGTGTATTAAATATTTATTTATATTATTTATTTATATAAACTTTCATAGAAGCAGGAATGTGTGTTCTCATTTGTAAATATATGATAATATCTTGACCTGACAACCCTGGTAGTTTGTAGTTTTTGGCGATGTTTGTGTGGTCGGTCGGCAGAGTCAATGAGGCCTGAGAGTGCCACCCTCCGAAACACACCACCGTGACCCTCTCTGGTGTATGCCAGCAGCTGCCGGACATCACAGTACACAGCCTGAGTGACATAAATAACAATGCTAGAAGAGCCTAATCTGATTATTTTTAATTCATAATCCTTATAAATTTTGATACCTTTACAGAAAACTAAATTAATGTGATCTTTTCTAAAAATCTTGATGATAAATTTAGTCAACATAAAAAAATTAAGAGAAATCATTAACTACATTAGTTGATTGCAAACTTTTATTCTTTCATAAAAAAATTAAATAAATAAGTCCATTCCTGGAAATACTGATAATCACTTTCATCTATATAATTTAAAAAAATATTAAGAGATCTCAAACTAGTACCATGCCAAACAGGGTAGAGTATATGAAACTCTTACTCATTCTAAAGTGCTAAATTATATATACATGTACTCACCATGTTCTCAGGATTTTTCAGCTCTTTGCTGGCTTTGACAAACCGGGACACCAAAGCCTTAAATACAGAGGCAACAAGCTGTCCCTCAATGCCCCTGGAGCCAGCACCCCCAAGAGATGCCCCAAAGTTGGTGGCATAACCTCCTTGCTGGGTGTCAACCCCTTTTGCTGACCCTGTCCGCTTCTGGCCTACAGGAGAAACTTGAGCATCTTTAATGGATGCCACAGAAAAACAACTAAGTGTCTGTAGTCATTACCAACTATGGGATGAAGCGATACTCAAAGACTGCTACATTCACAAAATAATTCAGCGTGTGAGATATTTTGTTTGCGACTAGGGAGGTGTAGGACTATGGTTTGTGGAGAGGGTGACAGAACTTGTCATAAAAGCTGCATACTACATCCAAAATCAAACAAACATCTAAGTGGCAACAATGTGTCATTAAATTAAAACATGCGAATATATTTTGAGAACTATAAAATATTGCGAATTGTGCAAAACAACATATTGCCAATTTTCACATTGGGAACTGAAAAGGTAGATTTTGTTTTGTATGGAGACTAATATGATAACATATAGCATTTAATGGTCTGAATTGTGACTCAGTGTGGTCTAATTTGTGGCTTGATGTAATATAAGTTGTGATGTTTTGTGGTCTTAGTTGAAGCTTGGTGTGGCCTAAGATTTGGCTTGGCATTGTCTGAGTTGTGGATTGGTGTTGTCTAAGAAAACAAGTGCTCCTTGTTTTCTGTGACAAACCATAACTTCATGCAAAATGTATTTTATTCTAATGTCCCAGGATTAAATTAAATAAATTTAAAAAATAACCCAAGTTATGTTTGAAAAACTTTTACAACTCAAACTGTCAACTTGAGATAACAAAAAATGTAATTTAGTTAATCAATCAGTTTAAGTTAATTTAGGTTTACAGCCTCCTTCTTTACTAATTATTTTTCCCAAAGATAAATTGTAGAATCTTATCAACATTCATTTTTAGCATGCTTTTGAAATATAATGAGTATTTTGAATGCAGAGCTTTATACAATCAGCATATGAAATACCATAATATTTTAAAATATTGTACAGTATAATGAACTATACTTAATTAACTTATTAAATACAGTCCAATGACCTACACTGCATACAATGAGCTTCTAAAATTCAATAAGCTTTGGAAGAGCTTATATGTTTCATACAGCTTTAAGAAAAAATTAACTTTTTTAAATATAGAGCAATAAACTTTTGAGACAATGATCTTTTGAAATATGATGCAATTTAACTGATAACAACTCAATTACTTACTCATAGGAGAGAGCAGGGAGCTAGGGTCGACACAAAAGCCCAGGAATGCATGGAAAAACTCCAGAATTTCGGTAATGGGTCTTGTCTTGACATAAATCCTGAGAAACCTGCGGAAGGTGCTTTGATCGTAGCGATACAACCGTGCTAACAGCCCTTGGCCTGTATACCGAAGAAAGTCCGCTGGAGGCCCCCGATGCCCATCTCCACAGCCATGTTGGCAGCCAAGGTGACGGTAAATCCTGCAGGTATTTAGAAGGCTCAGGCTACTTTACAGCGAAGAATTTTATGTTGCTATTTACCTACTAAATAATACTGATATTAGTTGCTCAACTGGTACTAGGAAACCTGTTACTGATGTATAATCTGTATAACCCTCCTAAAGTTAATACTTCAGGTCCTCTGAGAAGCTAATACAGTACCTCAATTTAAAGGCAAAATTGCCTACTTGGAGTAGAAAAGGAAAATAAAATCAATTCAGTCATTTCAAAATATTGCTCCAGAGACAGCTGTTGAAAGACTGCAAATCAAAGTTGTAAACCATAGGATGAGCGTTGAATCCACGACCTCACCGAAGCACATGTTTGGATTAGTGATAGACAGACAGTAACTGTGAGAAAATGGTGCAGTGCAAGTATTATGAGACCATATTTGAAGACTGAGAGTATGAGCCATGGAAGAAGTAGTAGAAGAAAAGAAAAACAAGAATAGAGCAAACTTTTAATGTATATTTTATGAATAAAATTATTATTATTAATTGGCCCATGTTAGGTAGCTTCTTTTCATATCCAACCACAGCCACTCATACATTCCTCTAATCTATGCTTGAAACAATCCAGTAAATTAAGTAGTGTTGATGTTATGTGTAAAAATAGAGAGAAGTGTAAGGGGACAAGAATTTATGTAATAATTACAAATACCTGGTTGTGACCAGATCCCAACCAGGAGGCCTGGTCAGAGGCCAGGCCACAGGGACGTTGATCCTCAGAATCACTGACAGGTATAAATCAGGTATATAGTAGTTATATTTTATAATAAAATTATATTTGTGATAACTTCACTAGCTGCTGCCTACAGTGCCATAAAATTAAATCAAGACACTCCCCATCATAATATAACATGGCTGTAACATCATCATCTTTCATAGGAAAGCTCAACATGAAAACACCATACCTAATAATAGTGTCCATGAATATGAAGTGATTGTTTTGCTCCTTGTCCTTTTCTGTAGGCTTAGGGTCATCTTCGCCTCTCTCCTCATCTTTGTCTTTATCTAGTTTTTGCCATCGTTTGGGAGTTTTGAGAAGTCCAAGATCCAAGAGGAAATCCAAAAGGTGCAAAAGAATCTCACACACACGCAGTGAACACACATGAGCATCGCGCTGTGCCACTGACTGCGCCGCCTAAAGACAAGTCAATAATCAGTTAGATTACAAGTGCAATCATCCTGAGTGATAACAAATATGCAAACCTAAATATCATATGATGATAATGATGAAGACAATGATGCTGATGATTTTTGTGCACAGCAATTCCCTTGTAAAGTTCACAGAGTGTCTTAACTGTAATTGCAAGATGAATAATAAGCATAAAATATAAGGACTAAATGTACTACCATACAATATTACAAAATTGTAATATTGTAAATATAATATTGTAAAATATATAGTAATATATTTTACAGTGCTACTATGAAGTTGAGAGTATAATGAAACCAAGATACTTTACTATATAATTTCTCTTACTGTGAGTGTTCAGTAGCATGATTGAGACAGCTACTATCTCCCATTCTGTGTGTTCGAAGGTTCCTAGGTTCGAGGCTCCTATGGCCCAAGTGAATTAAATGTTATTACCCATATTTATTGTGATCGACAATTTATTACTACATAATATTTATAGCCTCTAGATAAAGACATAAATCTAAGGATGCACATCCTTAGATGTGCACAATCAGACATGTAGAAATGTATTTTGATACCTACATGTACATCTAGAGTACTGAGTATGATCTGAACATCATTCTGATTAACTAATGTACTGGGAGGATGATTAAGAGACTTGAAGTGCATCAGGTGAACTGAAGATATACATCAAGATAAGAAAGTTAACCTTAAGGAGGACATGGAGATTAATATGACCATCACGGGTGATGTAATGGATGGAGCCAGGAGCTTCCACAGCTTCCTCATGTGAATATTGTATGTTGGAGTCCGTCTGGGAGCGTGAGAGTGGAGGTCGCTGGTAGATAACGTGACCCTCGATACTGCCACTTTGAGATGCCTGATGACAGCAAGAGTTAAAATATGATTTTAAGAGGGATGTTAAGGTTAGCAAGATGGGGAGAACATTATTTTGTTAACGAATAGCTCAAAACAATGATAAAGATGCTTACTTAATACCCCTAATATTATTTTATCATATTATTATTATATTAATGCAATCACATGTAAAAATTAAAATTAAAAAAATTAAAAAATTAATAAAACCAGCGTTGAATGTAATGAAACACCATTTTCTGGGTGAGACCCGGAGGCTCCCCTCTCCTTATAGGAACAGCAAAATATCTTAAGATCTTTATAATCAGGACATTCACCTAGGAGACTGATGATTATAAACACAACAATGCAAGTAAAGGTCACATGTCTGTTGTATAAAAGTGCCCATAAATCAACTTTGTGTTGCCACTGTTCCAATGAAAATAAAGGAGCAAAAAATAAAATCTTTAAAGTTTTAGATAAAGTTAAGGGTACCTGGTCACGCCATCCGTGTTCGCTGGGAGAGGGCGTGTGTTGTGTGACGGTTATGATTGGGTGGGTGGCGCCTATCATGTGTGGAAAGGCGCGTCTCTCTCTACCTTCTCCCACGTACCTGAATTAGTGGACAGAACAGTAGTATTAAAACAAAAGAATATTCCACTTTTCAAAGTATTACCTGAATTAGTAGCTCATAACAGTACAGTAGTACTAATTCAGAATATCTACCTTCAGGAAGCATATCAATAAAACCATCTACCTTAATAATGTTAATTGAAGCTTGTTACTGTATACACAGTTTGACTGTTACTGCAGCTAGGAAATAATGCTTATGATAAAATCTGTTTGTTCTTACAATGGTTGTGGTGTATAGAGATGTCCAGAAAGTAACTTTAACAACTTGAACCTTGCAACAGATCTATATATATACTGCACTCAGAATATCAACTCATACTTTAACAGTAATTATTTCTTCAGTAAAGCATATTGTTTAATAATGCATTTAAGAATATTTTCACCTCGACTAATTAATTAAATGTCATTTATAAAGGCTACGGTGTATGCCATTTTAAACATTAAAGGATATTTGTTGACATATTGCAAATTATTAACATTAACCACTTGGTTTAAGTATTTTACGAACATAAAAATAAAGGTATTTACTGCAGATTTGCTGACCCATATGAGGCTGTTCCTATTCATATTAAACCACTGCAACTCATGTGATTATCTAACCCCTCCCACTTGTGTATTGATCTGCAGCATACCACATTAACTAACTTCAATGTGTCAGCTAATAATCATCATAACCACTAATGATACTTATAATCATATTCACTAACTATTAATGACATTTATAATTCAATACATTAATAACATTTGAAATTACATAAATATATCTATAATTACAACTAATATATGTTCCCAATGTTCCATGAATCACTAAGGAAAGCAAAAAATGACCAATGAGTTTCCCATCAGGCACAATGATGATCAATTTACCAAGTCAGGTGAAGAGTGTATATAATCGAACGCGTAGAATCAAAAGTCAAACTCCAGTAGTAGTTCAGTGACAAATGCTCTGGATATACACCATCGACATACACCAGCATGTCTCTTTTTTTTTTTTTTTTTTACCTAACTCTAGTGGTCTCAACGAGGACAGGAAGCTGGCAGCTTGTCATAGGGCTCTCCATTTATCTTGGTCATTTACAGGGTGGATTTTTAAACCTAACAGAATTTTGGCATTTGTTACTTCATGGATAGGCAATTCCATGGGTTTTAACCTTGTGAGTGAAAGAGCATCTCCTGTTCTCAGTCCTACATTGAGGTTTGTTGACCTTGAAACCACTGCTCCTTGTTTGTGTTACATCTGACCCTTTGAATAAACTGGCCTGATCAACATCCTCCTCCATGCTGTAACACTTGAGTCTAATTCCAACTCTCATAAGGCACTACAGCCTTGCTACAGAGGAGACAGGTTATTCTGGCCTTATTCGAGCTCTTAGCTCTCACCCAGCATTTGAGCCATCTGATCTTGCCTGCATTCAAGCTGTATGCTCTTGCCTCCTCCTTCAAGCTCTCTATCCCCAGCCTTGCTCCAGCTCTCTGCTCTCAGCTTATGGCCTCACACAAGCATCTTCATCTCAGCTATCACTACATGTCATTAAATTTCCAACATCCAACTGCTGTAACCAAGACTATATTAAACAAATGTGAAAAACCACTACACTCTTTGAATTTTGTTGCCCAAAATTGCGTACATTACATTGGATATCCATGCTTTATCCGACTTGGCAAGTTGATCATCATACTGATTGATGGGAAATTTTCTGGTCACCTTTGGTTTTCCAAAGTGATTCGGGAAATAGTGGGAACATGTATTAGTTGTAATTAGAGATGTATTGATCAAGCCACTCCCACTCATGTATTGATCCAACTACTCCCACTCATGAACTGATCCATCCACACCCTCTTAGTATTTACTTCAAGTTGTGTAAGTCAGGTCCTGAGTTTAATTTCCAAAGCAGGACAGAAGCATTTGAGCAGGGTTTTTTTCAACTAATGTCTCTGTTTATCTAGAAGTACTGTAAATATGTACTCAGGAGTTACACCACTGTTGTGGGTTGTATACAGCTGTGGGTCAGTAGTAAGCCTAGGGAAACCTCAATAAGCCAAACAACCTTCCGCTCCCAGACAATGGGAAAGTATTCTTGCAAAGACACTAACATGCATTGTGCTTAGGGCAAGTTTTAACACTAATACAAAATTTGCAGTGAATTTTAAGTTATAAGGTGAGCAGTTAATCTTATATAAAGAATTAAAACAGATAAGGAATCAGTATAATGCCTCACTACACTAACTTAAACTTTGCACCATTTATTTAGACGTGGCTCAACATTATTTCAATCAATATTCAGAGAAAATTTATGTACACACCAATAACACATACTTCGTAGTACATATATTGCTCTCCTACATTAACTAAACATCACAGAATAATACAAAGTAATAAGGGGGGGTCACCAAAGACAATAACACTGTCTTTTGTCAATCAGATACAGTACTTCCAGCCTGAAAATGACCACATAAACGGACAAGGAAACAAACAATTTGGATGTAGGACCCGTTGAGCTCAAAATTGTCTTTACGTGTTTTTTGAGCCATTTCATGCACTGTTTGATGTCTTCTTACTATGCTAACACACACAATTAACAAAAACTTATAAAGTATACTATGTATAAACTTTCAGTGCCACTAAAGTGTTTAAGAGCAATAACATATAACTGCATATAACTACCTAGCCCTTGCACCAAAAGCAAGGTGGACCAAAAGCAATTTTTGCTTTAATAGCTAACACTTTTGATAATATTAATTTAGGTACTTGCATCTGAACCAGTTATTTAACTTACCCACAACACCACAAATGAAACATGACCAAAAGATGTCACTGTCTTCACAAAAGCTGGTAAAAGACATGCAGAAGCTAAAATAGTGTTAAAAAAGAAAATATTCAAGCATATACATAACAAAGGCAAAATACAATACTGTATATTGAATTCATTACACTTGTATTCATAATCTCAATACAAATTCAAATGGTGCTCTCAATTTATTTGAAACCCAGTTGTAATTATTCCACCTATTTTATGAAAATTAAATAACTGTTGATTCACATGATTATAATTATGAATTATAATTACATTAAAACATGTATGATTTCAGGCAAGCTACTAATATAAAATTAATCTATTAAAAAGTAAGAATATTCAAAACATTGATGATAAAATAAATCTATTAAAAAGTATGAATATTCAAAAATAGGAATAAAGATGAACAAGTTTAGAAATAGTAAATATAAATTTTTGAGGTAAATTTATAGCAGCCGTTTTTTGCGGGTACTGTGATAAAGGTCCTGTAAGTTCAGTAATCCAAATTTCGGTAAACCAAATCTTCAGGTAATCCGAATGAATTAATGTTTATTGTGAGTGAGTTAACGGCAGGAGTAACCGGGCAGTGGTATGAAAAATTGTGAATTCATCCATTTTCAGATATTCCTGGTAAGAAGTTCACCAAACTCGAATGTTCGGCCAACTCGAATGGGGTGGGCCCCACATAATTCAGATTAATGAGCACAGACAATACAGTATTTATATTTTAATTTAATAAACTCAACACCTTTTATTTATATTATTCTAGTATGCTATTGCATTGAAAAAACCAACACTGAATGTAATGAAACACCATTTTCTGGGTGAGCCTGAAAGTTCCCTAGAGCTATCGGACTGATATGCGATATATTAGTCTAGGGCATTAGTCAATGGAGTACAGCCTACTAATGGGACGAGCAACGAGGCGGCAGTGATGTCTTGGATCCTCTCGGACATAGGTACGAACCCTCGTCACGGTCCTTGTGGATTTGTTCAAGTGATGTGTCGTTTGCTTTTTTTGTGAGAGTTGGAGGAGTTCTGCCTCCCTGTTCAGTTTTCGGTTGCAATTTTCTTACCAAGTGCAGTTTTTTTAGCTATGCCTACTTTTCTGGGTGCCTAACCCCAGTCGACGGCAGACAAGGAATACCCCCAATCACAGAGGTGTTTCCAGAAGCCACTGCTCCCTTGTCTCCCTCAGGGGGGGGGGCCAGGTTCTGGGTCGTGGTCCCTGGTAGGCTGAACTCCATTAACAACTGCCCTAAACTAATATATTGCATATCAGTTCAATAGCTCTAGGGAACTAAAGTGGCTCTCCACAGAAAACCAGCGTTGAATGTAATGAAATGCCATTTTCTGGGTGAGCCCTAAAGGCTTCCTGAAGCTATCCAAACTGATATGTGCTATATTAGTTTGGGGTCATCAGTCACAGGAGTTCTTATGCCTACCGGGAACCATGAGCCAGAACCTGGTCCCCTCAGAGAGGCACAAGAAACAATAGCCTTAGAGCACTTTACATTTAAAGTATGTCATAATTGCCATCAACCAAGGAAGGACCCAGAAATGTAGGTGAATCAAAACAGACCACTGTCTGGTTAACCTGTGCAATCTACATCCCAAAAGTTAAAAATAACTCCCCTAAAAAAAAACTTAACAAGTAACCCTTCATGAGACTAGCACTTCTGCTCGTTAGCGCTACCCCCATCACCCCCGTGGGTGGGGGAAACTGCCTCGTTGGACCCGGCAGTCCATCACTCCAGTTCTTGAACTGATGTGCTAGTGGTCACTTTAGTCACCTCTAGCTTCAAATTCCTGTTCTGAATTTTTGCCCTCTGTGGCTGTTACAGCTGTGTGTTGGTGTGGTGGCCAGGTGTCTTAGTGTACAGATAAAGCATGCGCCTAAGGTGACCTTCACTAGATGCTCCATGAGTACTGCCCTTGCATGTCAGGGTTATCTTAGCAGGGGCATTTGGGAATCCCTCCCCATTTGAGGTTTCATCATTTGATGTTGTCTTTGCCCTTGGGGGTACGTCAGGGATCTAGGGCTTTCCGTCTTGCCCCAGGTAGGGGAGTGTTATTTGCTAGGTGGGGTGCACTGTGGCTGATGCAACGCAGCTAGCTTTACTTCAACGCAGCGGCCAATGTTTCTCTCTGACAGCCAGTTTGTTTGTTGTGTGTCTTTGGGGGG